CCTTTTCCATATTACACTTTCTCTAGTCAATTCTTACACAACAAACCTAAGATGCTAACATGCTTTTTCAGTCGTTACTTGATGCTCACTGTGTTTTAGAGAAAGATAGGGTGAGCATATTCTGAATCCCCAAAAAGAGGACACTACTACGTGGGCAAAGTCACACGCACAATTTTGAGAGTTTTTCGGGTTGGGTCGAATGTCTTTTACGTGCCTCTAACTCAGTTTGTCCACGCTACACAAACTCAAAACTTCCACAGAAAACAGGACAGGCCAGACAGCCCCCAAAAAGACGACATGTCCGGGTAAAAGAAGACGTATGGTCACCCAAGCCAAAGAGCGCCGCCAAATGAAGGCAGACTCGCAAGTCAAGCGAGGCCGCCTAGCTAGCCGGCTCCTGAGTCTTCCTTTTCCTTGCTTTTGCGTCTTTTTCCCTCTTTTACTTTTATTGTTATTTTCAAATTCCATTTTCCACAATCATGGGGAATTAAAGCTTGCAATACAAAACTGAAAAAAATCAGCAATGAGGTTTAAGGCGCCACTCTGACCACAGGGGGCGCCAAAATCAACACAAATTTGGGACTACGTGCCTGCCCTCCGAGTCAGCTGTGCCCACCCTGGACTAAAAGCAAAATATTCTGTTAATCTGATTTGGGGTTTGTTTTTTCCATCAGAGTACTCATCTCCAGTTAATCCAATCTGTCTCGACATGTCAATCAATCCAACCAATCCAATCGATCGAAGGCAACGTGTTAGCCAATTACAGGTAAAGGCAGACTCGGCGGTAAGCATTGGCGTGCTGTTTAAAATGGTTATAAGAGGTATATTTGTTCGCCAAAAAAGGACGATGACCGCTGACGGGAGCGAGCAGGAAGCAGCGGCAGCGCCACACAGCTCCAGTTTTAGGAAGCTAAGCGACGAAGCCAACAGTCAGCAGATAAAATACAAGTTTAAATAAGTGAATCTTTATGTAAATTCTTCACATTGAGTTAATAAGGTCTGTTTAGATAAAAGAGAAAATTTGAGCGTCTTCATTGACTGACTTTCATCGTCTAACAGCGTGAATTTCTTCATGCTACGTTCTGCTCTGCTTCTTGGAAATATTCAGTCTCCAACTCTAAACTTCCCACTGTTTCCATCCTTGTTATTTGGCTGTTAACGAACCCACCCACACAACAGAGAGCCGCCGCGTCAGGCTCCCTCCGTACTCTCAGAGCAGAAATACTGCAGAGCATCAACCCCAATCAGGAGTTTCCCCCGTCTGATTGGCTCCAGATTAATTCTTTTTCCAGAGACGCTTGAATCCTAGACTAGAAACCCTTCGAGTTCTGGGTTGCCAGATTTGGGATTGATCTGGGCGTACATTTCTGAACTATTCCAATCAATCTGTGCTACTGTGCTGCCAGACATTGTGCTTTTGCCAGGCACAAATATTTCCACTAAAGCTCTGCGATGGATTCAGAGGATGTACGCCTCTAGACTGGCGAAAAATATTCTTATTTTTGGCAAATTGGTTGAATCCAAACTTCCACAGCTTTCAGCTTCGCGTCTAATTTACTGGATTGTAACTTAAGCGCAGAGCGAGGGTTGCCAGGTCTGAAGCTGGTCTTTCCACATGAACCCCCTGACGCTTTTTCCGGCGCTGATCAAACAACGCCCCTGTGGCTGCTGTTATTTAAAACAGTGAACACACACATGGGCCCGGTTAGCGAACAGAAATTCACACAGGCTCATAAAAAGAACAATCAATGAGGCCTGCCTTTGCTTTTTCTCGTATTTACTCTTCCAGCAACACCAGAGCAGATGTTTGCTCTGTCCTTTAATTTCAAGTTTCCACCTGCAGGACTTGAAAAGGTTTGAAAGAGGTGCGATCGCCCAGTAAGTCCCTGAATTTGGTCGATTTAACAGCATCAAAGTGAAAATGAAGCTCCAGTTTCACCTTTTGAGGAGTCATGTACCGACTAGGAAAAAGAAACCCGGTCTTTATTATCTAATCTCCTCGAGTGGAAAGAGATTTAAAACTTAATGAAGTCCATTTGAAGGAGGGCATTAGTGGACTGAGGGATACAGATGGTTCTGCTGTACAGTGGAGTGATTGTTCCCGCCCGCTGTGACCCAGACTTCCCGCTGCTTTAACAATAACACAGTCATTAATCTCCGCTATCGCATCTTATCTCACGCTGCACAGACTACAAGCTGATACCTCAGCGCATGTGTCACTGTCCACATCCTGGTGTGTGTGTGTGTGTGTGTGTGTGTGTGTGTGTGCATGTGTGTGTGTGCATGTGGAGGGAAAGATGGGGTGTCTGCTATTGTAACTGTAGCCTATCTATCTCCATTAGGCAGCAGTTCCATCATCAGTCAGCGTTATCTCTATATTGAGACAGATGTTTTACACGTCCTGTCCTCATAACCTACTGTGGCTGAGTGTAGGACACACACACTCTCTCTCCATCTCTCACACACTCTGATTATTGTCCTCTTCAGGTGTGGAAGAAGATAAGGAGAAAGAAAATGTGTATTTCTTTGTGATTATCATTCTCACCTCTCACTTCATTTTTGAGGGGTTGGACTCCTGGGATGGGCGATAAATTATCGTTCACGATATATCGTCAGAAAAATCCTCCATGAGAAATATTTGCAATGTCACGATAAATATGATAAATGCAAGTCAATGACGTAAGCGCTCGTTACTGAACGAGGCTCCACGTAAGGGATTTCCTTCAAGAAGCGGGTTTAGACGAGCGCAATCAGGTCCGCCTGACATCGGACCGTGGATCTGCTGCTGTTCACTCTGTGCAAGAAGAGTTTTCAACAAATGTCGAGAACGTTTTTACATTTGAGATTTGTTTGATGTCACTAGTTTTCTCCATAACTCACCACTTAAACTTGTGGTTAAGTCTCTTATTTGACGACTCCAACTGGTGTTATCAAGACAAAATGAGTCAAAAATATGGATTGGAATTATTACATTTTTATCGGAACTTTTATTGTTTTCGCCAAAGTGGCAAATCTTATCGTGACAAATTTTTTTAGCCCATATTGCACTGGACACTTGTCTCCTCTGTGAGATTGAAAATCTCCTGGATGTTGTAAAAACACTCAGAGTTTGTCGTCTGACAGCTGCCGGTCTCACAGAACGAGTGGATTTTAAAGTAAATTGCTACGATTTAGTAGCATTTCGAGACGCTCTTGCCTGCTGTCCACCATGATTACATCCTCGGTTGCCTTTCCTACTTCCATTGTGCATCATGTCATTGAATTGTCGTCCACACAGACCTAAATGGAAGTCATCTCTATGGTAACCGTTAAACTCAAAGCCAAATGATTGTACTCGCCTGAACTGATTCTGCTGTTGTTTTCAGTTCTTATTATACCCTGCTTAACGCCAAATATTGGTGAAAATTCGCAGGACGCTTAACTGTGATTGGCTGACTTTTAATATTGTACTTCTGAGGTTATATCCACTTTTACTGAATATAAACAAGGATCGTTTAAAGATCTTTACTGGTCACTGCAACACAATTTAGCTTGTTCGTCTGACGTGCCAGTTAAAGACTGAAAATGTCAAAAATAAAAGTATTGTAGAGAAGAGAAGTCATGAAAATGTCGAGGAGGAACCAGATAGAGTGGAGTGAACCGGTGTATATCCGAACAAACCGTGGCTAAAGATGTTTTCTGCTCGTATTGTTCCCATGACCTTGTATTTCACAGACATTTACAGTTCATCCCACACACTGAGGACTGCATCTCCTCCTTTAGTGAAAGGATTACCCATAATGCTTTACCTCCTCAGTCTTTGATCCAATTCTCCAGGGGATCCTACCGACTGTAGGCAAACATTTAGTGTTTACAGAGGAGACATCAAATCCACTCCTGGGGGACTTTTACCCACCAGATCCACCAGAGCCTCGTTTTCCACGCGAAGACGGTTTGATTCACAGGGGACTTTACTGAAGTCCTGAGTCCCTCTGGGTTTAATAAACAAGAAAAACCTGAGACGACGGTAACAAAGTCAAAGTCAGTTCATCATCTAAAAACTCTCAACTACGGTACTTAGGATTTTAAAGAAGAGGGGTAACGACCAAACGGAGGAAAGATGAAGAAGTATGAAAACTATAACCAGCTCATTTCCATTCATAAATCAAAATAAGATATCAGTAATCTTGGAGTAACTCTCTCAGAACATTTGTAGATGACACCTCATCATGTCCAGAGACACCTCCTGTCTGTCTTCACCTTCAGCTCTTCTCTTTCTCCCCTCATTTGTCTCTAACACTCTTTCCTCCTGGATTACAGAATAATCCCTTTAAGCTCCCTGTTTTCATTCACTTATTCCCTTCACTCCTACCTGACAGGGTCGCTGCCAAAACCTCTAAGATCTTGGTTCATATTCCTTCACGTCACAAAAAGACCCGATACCTGGACATAATCCCTGCAGGGAACCGTCTCTGCGTTCGTCAGTGTCAGTAAATATCTAACCCCCTATCCTGCACACATACTTGCATGCAAAGACAATGATGCAAATATTAAATAAACATTTGATGAGAAAACACACACACACACACACATACACACACACACACACTCGCAGGAATGCTGAGCTCACTGCCGTCATAAATTCCTGCTCACAGACTCAGATGTCGGATGCCGCCGGTGCCGACTGTCAGCTGAAAACCTCCAGCTTTTCCAAATTGCAAACATTCCTCGCTCTCCTCTGCTATCTTACCGTCACTCATAAAAATAATCTTATAGTGTTTAAAAAGCTGCAAACATACTCTTATATATACGCAGCCGTAGTGGTCTGGATCTGCTCAGCGGGGGTGTTAAGGGCTTTAGGAAGCTGCTACCATGAGCAAACACACTCCCCGCTGTGGAGAACACTGGGGGATCTGCACACACACACACACACTCTCTCACACACACCTTTGTGTCGGGCCTGCAGTGGTGGTGGTGGCACACAGATGTAAAGCAGACCTCAGCTGGGTGGCAGGGGGAGGGACGCTCTTCCGTTGGATGAAAACAAAGTGTGTGTGTTTTACTCGCTTTGATGTGAGACGGAAAAGAAAAGAGGGAAATTTGGAGGAGAGCGAACCGTGACTCAGTCCTCCCTCTCCGCTCGTACTTCACTCACATTCGTCGTTTCGCCGTGTCCACTGAGTTCTTAAAAAGGACAAACTTGACCCTTAAAAACCTGCTCTGCTCGCTCCTCTTAGGCAGCGTTTCCATCGTAGGAATTTTTGAAGCGGCCTGTAAATTTCAGAGGCTCTGACCCCCGTTTTTATTCCTCCGAGTCTAAATTATGGGGAGTATTAAACCTGACTGGAATGGAAACTGATGATCCCCAATGAAAAGCTGTCACTGCTGTTAAGTTTTCTGCAGGAAGATTATAGAAAAAATGTCGTTTTTTCCACATATGAGCAGAGAAAATGTCTTTTTCTTTGGGATTTACAGTTCCTGATCGTCTCCTCCAGGTGGAAATGTTGAGGGAATACAGACACCACTATAAATGGACTCTGTAGTTGGATTAAGCTTAATAACCACAAAAGCTGATTTTCATTCAGTCAAGAAAAAACATCCCAGTTCAGTTTTGAAGAACTTTTAAGTACCGGTCTTCAGAAACTTCTGTGCACACTAATGAATAAAAAGGGGGGAATAATTGGTACCAGAGCAGAGCTGAACACTGCCGTTATTCTGTCTCTGAGGAAAATCAGCAGGTCCAGACCGCCCAATCTGAGAAAATCCATCAACACTCATCAGTGGAAACTGGAAAGGACTCAAAGTTGTTCTTAAAAGAGATCGATTCACTTTGTTTCCATCAGAGACGATGGAAACCGTCACACGTTCATGCGCCGTTAGATAATATTTATGGAAATTCACGCAGACGTTGGAAATTTGATTGGCTGCGATAATAAAGACTCGACTCAGAGTAAAATAAATATATCATCTCTGAAGTGAATCAGTACGAATCACACTGAGAGACAAACTGGGAGGCCAGGACCGTCTTTAGGAAAATCTACGACCTCAGAAACAAACCTTATCTCAGTCCAGACCACTTCAATCAGGAAAAACTGTTTTCAGATATTCAGCAGAGTGTTTCTGATTCTGAGGGCTCCTCGCTCTTCCACGTCTACAAACACCAACAACAGAGCAGCAGCAAAGACATAGAGGGGCACAGAGCAACTTATATGACACAGGTGAAATCAGACATAGTGTAAGGAGGAGGAGCTTCAGTGAACTGTTATTCATCCTTCTAGAGCTGCACGATTTTGGCCAAAAAACAAAAAATTTTCCTGGAAACTCAATTTTTTATTTTGATTCTTTATTCAGCGACAACTTCACCAAACTTCACTTTAAAAATACAAAGTTTTTCGATCATCTCTCAAAACTAAACCACTGAAAATGATGTAGTTCATATGCCGAGCCAGTAAGTGGCGCTGTAACGTTTCACAGGAAATGCACAAAAGACAGAAGAAGAGTACAAAGCATGTGTATAAAGGTTGTTTTGGCCGGACACGCTCAGGCGCCATAAAAGAATTACGCTGTGTGTCACATGATCGTTTCCGGAGATGCAGATAGACATCCACACAGAGATAAAATAGTCGTCGTTTACAGATTTATGCACTCTCTGACCCGTAGATGAAACGCCGATACTACTCCTGAATTTGTTTCCGTGGTGACAGGTTGATACCGCCTTCAGACAGACTTTGCAGCAGGGAGTGGTTTGCTCTTCTTCCAAAACTGCGAAGTCGTACCAATTCAACACGACTGACTCGCTCTTGTCCTATTTAACAACGAAATTATTGCCTTCTTTTGCAAACGCCATGTTTGTTTACACTGGTGTGTGTGGGAACTGGGGAGCCTATGGTGGCCTGGAGCCGCGAGACATGATAGAGAGGAAAACTGATTCGATTTTTTAACATCGTCATAAATAATCCAATTATGGTCTAAAATCGATTAATCGTGCAGCCCTACTTCCTACATGTTGTAGATAAGACGTAACAGGACCTAAAGATTAGGCCTTAAATTGTTAAAATGTGGAAACCTTCAGTCATGTGTCAATTAGAGCACAAAAAATGAAGACATATAAGAGCATCTGGGGGAAATTATCTCATTAAAATGACTCAAAAGACCCTAAAACTAAAGTTTACTCACACATAGACATCTGAAAATACGACAACTATCTAAGTGGTGAACCTAAAATAGAAACTAAAGCAGCTGGTTGTACTTAGAATAACTGCTCCATTAAAACGGAGAGTAATCTACTCTGTTGGGAAGCTGTACTCTGATGACCGCCTGGTTATCTGGCTGCCTGTTTTTCTTTTTTTTTACTGGATTTTTCCAGAGTAACTCTAAGAGGAAACAGCAGCAGCAGGAAAAGCCGAGGCTGGAGCTGATAGGGACGACAGTGGGAGTGGGATGACACAGGTGGTGCTTCCATTTGACTGGGGGTGGAAACGCAGCGTACAAAAACACATGGAGAGTGATATTATTCCAGAAGCTCCCAATATTGACCTTTGACCTTGTCTTGGCCTGTTTAAATTGAAGCTAAAATCTCTTGGACACATTTGTGGGACATTTGCGAGGTGGACTACGACAGACATCCATTAATTTTGATCGTAAGGCTCAGGATGACACTTTATAATCAAACCAAACGAATCTCTGTGCGACAGGCTTGAATGGGATTGCTTATGTGTCTATCTTTGAGCGGCCTCCACCTTTATTTTCATTCACTGTGTTTGTTCCTGTTTATTCTCCGAGCAGATCCAAAGTGCAGACCATTAAAGGCGGCCCGAGACGACCACAAACACCCTAACAGCACTCAGGAAAACAGATAAAACCACCACTTTCCTGTCCAAAATCACAAAGCACTTTTCCTATCAAGAAACGTCTGGTTTCCCAAAAGCACAGCCGCGCTTTTTGTCCTTTTAAGGATGAGGCAGCAGCTGAAGACGAAACTCTGACACTGAGAAATCATCCGCAGAATTTTTCCATTTTTTACTGTTTAATCTGATCAATTATATGTACCGATGTAATTGTTTAAGTGTTTTCTCCCTATGTCAAGAGATGTCACTGAATTTCCTAGAAACCTCCTAAAAACACTCGTCTTTTCAGGCACATATTCAGAAGAAATAATGCTGCGTCCGAATTGCCAAGTAGTAGTCGAAGTAGTAGTCGAAGTAGTATCTAGCATGTCCGAATTGGCCACCGGAGCGAGTAGCATGCTACTTCAGATACTACTTCAGATGCTAGACACGCCCACATTGTAGGTTGGTCTCGGTGCATCCTACGGGCATGCTACTGACCCAAAATGCACCGCGGGCTTCTTCTTCGTCCTCTTAAAAGTTGTAGAAGCGCATGTGATGCTAGCGCCACCAGCTGCTGCCTATTTAGATGCGTCGCGAACGCCGGCTGGCCACAGCAGCGCGCACCATGTCGGAGCAGCAGCAGCAGCAGGCGGGACCGCAGTAGTACAGATGTAAGTTTCATGTAACTTCACACACTGTCCTAAAAAATGTGCGGTTGTATCTCTTTGTCATGTCATGGTGTCATATTTGCCCAAGTAATCATTTTATGAGCAAATATGTGGCGACATCATGGAGGTAAAGCTCACTTATTCCATCATTAAACTGCACAGCTGCAGTACTACAGCCAGGCCCGCAGATGAGGGGCTTCAGTTACCACTGTCTGCACGGGCGCAGTACCTACTCTCTGCCTGCGGGGGTCGTCTTTCCCCACCGCTCGTCTAGTGTGTCCGAATTGGGCCAACGTGTTTAGTATGTAGGAGTAGGATCTAGCAGGATCAGGGTTAAACAGAAACTAGTGGAGTAAACCGATTATTGATTATGGTGATGTGTTTTACATGAACGCCTCTGTTCAATGCCTCCACATGCTGGATAGTGTATCATGGTTCTCTGGAGCTCTAACTCACCATTGTGTCTTACTCAGTAAAGTAAACTGGCCGTCTTTACATGTGCGCCGGCTCGGCCTTTGGTTCGTGTCGATTTATAAGACTATTCCTCAGATGACTCCATCTTGTTTATCACCCATTTTAATCTTGAATAATAGGACCTACAGTCTCCGCCCCCAGGACTTTTATTATTTTACTGTTTCTAAAGTTCAGAGCAGAAATGAGGAAGAAAGTTTTTAGATTTTCTAGAAAAATGATCACGATATATTTTGTCACATCGTCCGATCTCGATTATTATCACAATTTTTTTTTAACTGCCAGTTTTAAAGCATCTGTTTTAAAAACTGAAGAAACTAGAGATTAGTTCAACATTTTATTTACATACAAAATAAATAACAAATCAAATTAAATAGATACACTTAAAAATATATAAAATACATGTTATAATAACATCTTCGGAGAATGACTCAAAGTCAGGGCTGACATCTGTTTGCTGCCCTCAGCTCCATGTTTAGCTCCACTTTCGGTCATTCTTACTTCCTGTTTACTTCTCCAGCAAATTACAGAAGCGAGCAGGAAAAGCTCGACTCTGATTGGCTGCTGTCACGCACATTTCTGCTGTGTTTGCTCACAGCTGATCACCGTGATCGAACTGAAATTTATCACGATCATATAATCGCCCAGTCCTACCCCTGACTGTATTCAAATCCATGATAAACTCCATTACATCCAGGCGTCAGGAGTGCAAATGTTTTATTTTAATGTGCTAATGTTTGAGGAATCTTGTATTCTTTGTTTTCTATATAATTAATGTGATTATGTATTAAAACTGTCGATGGGACAAACCTGGTTAAATAAAGTTAATAATCATAAAAACAGGCCGCTCTTCCAAGTCGAGTCATCTTCATAAACGCCGTTCATCATCAGAGGTTACGATATTAGCAGTTTGTGCAGATGAGTTTCTCCATTCCAGGGTCGTATCTGCAGGATTTACGTGTTTTTATTTGGTGTACTGAGACTCGGCTTTCGGAAACACGCGGTGGTTTACCGTGATGAGTCAAGGTTTCTCCTCTCTGAAAAACATCTGATTCATTGCAGCATTTTTCCAACCTAGATACAAGACTGAGAGCCAGGTGAGGGAATAACGGATGAATACTCTATGAGCTCAAATGGACCGAATCAGGAAATCCATTACAGTTCGCTTTACTTCCATGGTGACAGATCAGGAAATTCATCGTCTCAGGAGCCGCTTACATCCTGCTGGTCTTCATATCAGTCGACCTACTTCCTTTAGTTCGCACTTATCTGTTTCAAAGAGGGATTTTCTTTCCCTGTTTCACTGCAGCGAGCGCTAAAACAAACACTTCCAACTTCATCTAAAGTGAGAGGAAGTTGATATATTTTATTTTTTTTGCTGTTGAAAATATCCGGTCAAGTCTCTGGTGAGTCATAAAGGACGGGTCGCCCCGTTCACCTCGTTGGCCAGGCTCAGAGCGAGGTTACGTAAGCTCCCACTTCAAATGAATCAAGCTGAAAGCATGAGAGGAGGAGGAGGAGGACGACGACGACGGGCCTTCAGGGGAAGGAATCCTTCAGGAGGAACAGTTTCCAGAGGAGCTGGCTGTGGTCCAGTCAGTTTATAAAACACTTGAAGAAGAAGAGGGAGGTGATGGTGACCCTTCATTTATTCCCTCATCATACCTCTAAGTAAGTTAAAGTTGTCCGTCGTACAGATTTATACCTCCTCTTCTTCAAACGGACTTTTAGCAGGTCGTTGGATTCAGAAGTTTCAGACTGTAAAACGTTGAACAAACTCGCTCCTGCTGTGCATCGCTGCAGGTTATCTTAACCCGAGTACAGAGAGCCAGTGGCTCAGGGAAAATCATCTCAGACTTTACGAAGAGCTTAGTTTGACCTGCGTGGCCGCTCCGCTCCGCTCCGTTTGTGGGGGATATCGCTTACAGGTAATGAATGCTCCCCCTATCTCCCAAAACCTCCACATAAACCCTCGCCTCCTTTCCCACAGGGATTACTATGTCTCTGTGTGTCCGTGTTGGTGTGTACTTTCGCCCGTGTGTACGTGGGGGAGGAGAGCTGATCTACACGTGTATCTGTCGGCTAAACGGCGAACAGAATGGCTGAATTATCTCCAGGTTACAGCGAAGGTGAATCACGAGAGACCGATGGGGTTAAAGTTTCCAAACTAACGTCACTCCAAACAATAAACCGATCAGACCCTGGCTCTTCTCCCTTCTCAGTTTCTTACTTTATTCGCCACCCAATCGGATCAATAAAAGCCTCAAAGTAATCTCGGTTAAAAACTAGAGGAACAAAGAGATGCCGGTTTGGCGGTGTGGTTAAATCCCACGCCTCATTTACAGAGGCGATCGTCCTCGAAGCAGACGGCTCATCCATCAGACCCACAGCTCTTCGCCACACATCATTCGCCGCTCTCCCTTTTCTGTTTTTTGCTCGATCCATCACCCTGTCTGATCAATAAAGGCAGAAAAAAGCTGAAAAATAATCTCGCTTTAAAAAGAATCTAGATTTTTTAGGTTATCAAGACTTTCCTCTCCCTTATTTGTGTGTTTTCTGCTGTTGTATAATCAAAAAAGTCTCGAAAACTAAAGGGAAACTTATTTTAAAGGCTGGGAATCCAAAAGATTACTCACTAAAACATCACACCATGATTTAATAAAGTTTTTCCTTGTCTTTTTGAGTAGCTATGACGACAAAACTCTAGAGATGCTGAAACAAAACCTCTGTTAAGTGGAGGCGAACATCCACAGTCTCTCTAACGTGTGTTTTCTGTATCAGACTGAACTCGGCGAGTGAAGAAACACACCGACAGTAAATCATCATCACCTGAAAGCGCCCACACTGAGAGATCCCGGCTGTCACCTCTGCTCACCTTCATCCAGAGAAACAGAAACTCGAACGCACGCACGCAGTCGCTCTCTCTTCACATTTAAAATCCAAATAAACCGTTTTTAGGAGACCTGAGGGGGCTCACGCTCGCCTACGAGGTTCTCGGGTTTCGGGGACGCGTGGGAGCTCTCACTCCATCAGATGAGAAACGGACTTCCTGATGACATCCGCAGAGAGTCGCCTCCTCTGCTCGAGTTTGATGGACAAAACATCCCGTCGATGCAGTAAATCAGAACTTTCAAAATATGACTTCACAGTTACCCCACCGACTGATGAGACAGATTAGTGATTTAGATGATGTGAAAAATGTCATAAAAGTGAGTTGAAGGAGTATGATATGAAAAAAGTTGCTAGAATCATCGTTAGACTCTGAAAGTCCCTGTGATGTTGAAAACACGTTGAAAAGATTCTTCACCAGACGTCTAATAAACGTCCAGATTCAGACCGTCTAAATAAAGCCTCGTTTTCAACGTCTTCTTTTGGGACCATGACGAGCCAACGGGATTTAGCCTGAAAAAAGACGTCTAAAGGTCCTTAAACACCGGGGCCGACGCAAATATAGAACGCGAAATCACGAAATATTCAGAAGCGAATTTTGACGCGCCTGACTGTACACATCACGCCCGATGCGTTTTGCGATTTTCCGGGGGGGAAAAGACAAGTCCCGCCTCCTTCACCTCTGATTGGCTAGAAAGCTGGGAATGTCATCACACGCTCAAGCCAAACGGTCAGCACTTACAGCCAATCATAGGTGAAGGAGGGCGGGACCTTTCCTTACCATCCTACCGCGTCCTGGGTGGAAGCGAGAAGACAAAATTGGAGTCTCCTTCAACTTCAAGTGATGGCGAATTGGTACTTCTTTAGCTTTCTCAAAAGAAGAAGAAATGTAGCACATAGGTGCATCCAATATTACAAAAAAGACGAGAAACTGGACCACGGTCGCTTCAGAACCTGTTTTTGGATGTCTGTTGGACAATTTGAAGTTCTGCTGAAACAATTAACTCCAAGTTTGAAGAGGCAGAGGACTAGACACTAGACACTAGTGTTGAGATGTCTGTCTGTCATGATAGCATGTACTGAGTCAGGGTCAGTACCAGATAAACACATGAAACTATGGTAACAACAGTTAGCTTAGGTTAGCACAGATGAAAGTTAAAACAAAGACGTTTATCAAACTGTTAAAGCTCACAAACCATAGAAATATGAGCGATCTGACGCTATGACTCTCCACAAGTCATCCTTCAGGTCTTTATCTTTGTAATGTTTGTGTAAATGATCATGAACAATCAGCCGGTCGGCCATGTTGGATATACCGGTGAATCAGGCGTCGCAACAACACGCAATCTGATTGGTCAGAAGTGGACACACAGTATGCAAAACTTTAGAAAAATCTACCGTGATCCGAAAAAATAAATGCCGCAATATCGCAGGACGGGAAAATGTCGCTGATGTGAACGCTTGACAGGATACGGGTTCGAAAAAAAATATTGACGCCCGAAAAAGGACCTTAAATGACGTCAGGTGTTTGGTGGGTAAGAAGAGATCTTCGAAAGAGGCCTTCAACCTCTCTTTGGATATTCTTGTAAAGCAGAATAATTGTTGCAGGTCATTCAAACCAGATGTAGTGAGTGTAACTTTGCAAAATGTTTAATTTCAAAGTGGCTCTAAAAATAAATAAAGAACACAGTGAGATTTATTTTCTAAATGAGTGAGAAAAGCTGCAAATTTGAGTCAAACTTGAAAATCAATTTAAAGTTTCAAGTAATTTTAACTGAAAAAAAATCTGTGAACTTGACACAAAAAAATATGATTTTATAGGCAGTGGTTTTTTCCCTCTGTGCACTAAGTCTGTTATATCTGTAGGTAAAGTTCATATCAGTTTGTGAAAGATTTAAGGGGTTTTATTTATGACCTTGAAAACTGCAGAGCTTCATTTCTGCCCGGGTCAGCAGGAAGGTTACTGCCCCGTGGGATGAAGGTAGAAGAAAACAAACACGACCCTGAGGTGGAGAGATCCCTCCAGAGTCAGAGTGTAAATATGACTGAGGATAAAACAGGTTTTTTAAAGCAAATGCACATGTAGTCAGTGTTCAGGTCATGACAGAAGCCTGCAGTCTGATTATTGTGTGAATCTTTTATTTCTAAATGTTGATTTACTGTTCCCTCCTTCAGTTTATCAACGAGGACAAATGTACAAATATTTTATCAGTGACTAAAGTAATCACATAAAGCAGAGCAGCAGTTCCCTTTATGGAGACTAGTTCATCTCCTCTCAGTGTGTATTATTGGATTGTTCTTGACGTTGTACAGTAAAGCTGCAGACCCGCCCTGCATAAAAATATCCCATAAATGACATGATTGATGGTTTATTTGGCGTTTAGAGGAAAGTTTCATTGTCATGGCTCTCAAAGTCCCCCTCCAGCTCCCGAGGAGCAGCACTGAGAGGAAACATTAGTGGACCAGGATATTGGCCTGGAGGGCAGGAGGATGTTCCTCAGCCTGGCCCCTCTCTGTGGATCTTGGCGTTTTAAATGGAAGGTTTGTCTTCCTCGGGCCTCCGTAAGGAAGCAGCTGTCAGAGAGACCAGCTCGCTCTCTTTTAGAGAGTTCGGTTCCTGAAATACCCCAAATATCAGATCTCTCAAAGGTTTGTGATCTTCAGCCGCGATAAGAAGCTTTAAGAGTTTGTTGTCCGGTGTAAGCGACGCACTGACTCGACAACTTTATGAATGTGTGTTTGTTTTAGCGCGCTAAAGTCGAGCTTTTTACCTTTCACGTTGGCTGTTTAAATTTAATACAGAAGAGCTCGGCAGAGTCTTTCACCAAAGGTACGCCATACAATAAAAAATCGCCAGACTGGTCGGACATTATATTTGCATTTGTTTACAAATCTGAGTTTAAAAATAAAAGGAAAATGAACAAATGAGTCAGTTTGGTTATTTTTAGGACATTAATTGGATTTAAAGGGGAAAAACATACCGTCTGTTATCGTGATATGAAATTACTCACCGCCTTACACTAGATGCAACAGTAAATTCTAGTGTATTTAATGGCCCCCCTGCATATGTTGGGTCGGGCCACCCTAGTCAAAAAAGTCTAGACACGCCCCTGCTTGTCGGCCCAAACTTCATGTTATTTCGCTCTACAAACGATGAATTAATCCATGCTGAGAGGAGGCTACAGAGAAAGACAAGGACTCTACTTTTACTCAGGTAGACTGACGCATTTATCACGAAGTTGAACGTCATGCAGATTTGATGTCCAGAAAGACTTTTCTGGCCTGACCGTCACGTTCTTGTCTTTGTGCAGAACAAATTTAAAACCTTATAGATGCTTTCAGCTGAGCCACCCTGCTGCTTCAGGAGCCAAAGTGAGCGAGGTCAGAGAGCGTCTCAGCAGTGAAATGTAGACAGATGAAGCACACTGAGTGATTCAGTGTCGAACCTGCTGTGGTACACGTGCTGTAATTATTTCCTTTCTCTGCTTTATCCCTTGAGAAAGTGTTTTGTAACCGTAAATGTGCCGTTTTCCCATAATTGCACCACTTAGAGCAACAGCTGATGCAAACTGTGAACATCACAGGAGTGAACTATTTCAGTGTGCAGTCTGAGATTAATGAGGAAAGAGGCATCAAACAAGCTTCCTCTCTCACTAAATCTTCACATCCGTCTCTCTCTCTCTCTCTCTCTCTATTCTCACACTTTTCTTCAACATCCTCTCAAAGGGAGAAAAACATCAACAAGTAGATCAGGAATGGAAGGTTTTCATTACTTTAAATTTGGCTCCAGGTTTGAATTTGGTTCTTATCACTTTTGCAACAAAACAGAAACTTTTTTTTAACCAAAAATGGAAATATTCAGCCTCATATCCTGTCCTTAAAGACAGAGTTAATCCAGAGCAGCGGTCTCAGTTTATCACACATGATTCACCCTCGAATATAAACATTAACATCCTTAAGAAGCCAGGACCTGGGCTTACAGGGCTGCAGGGGGGGTTTGAGTAAGAACAATGGAGTCCAGACCCAGTGACACAATCCTCCCGTCAACTTTGGACACTAACTTGTGGAGTGTTGCCACGGAAATAAAGTCAATTTACACTCTATATGCCAAAAACGAGAGGGATGGATTAAGGTCAAGTCCCCTGTAGACAGAAAAACTTGAAACTACAACTAGGTATAATATTTCAAAGATGATTTCATTTTTAAAAACAGAAATAACAGACAAATATTGCATCACTTCACGGCTAACCTGCATTTTTAACACTGCAGCAGGTGGAAACATCTTAAAAAAACATCTGCAGCCTGACCATCCAAAAGATATCACTTTTTTAAAGCTAAAGCAGACTGAAACAAGGCAAAGAAAGAGTCAAAAATATGATGAAAAGGGGGTTTTAACAGAGCTTAATGCCATAAAAATATTTAAAGATTAATAAAAGAAAATCAACTCATGAAAATGTATCATATATTTCTAGAAAGTGCTCTCTGCTGGTGGGTTTTCTTCTTCTCAGAGTGTCTGAGATGTTTCTGTAGGAGGTAAACTTCAAATGAACCCAGGCTCTCGTTGGCTCAGACATTTAAACTCCCACTGAAACACAGAGCCGAGAGACGACGGCCAAATCTACGTCGCAGAGAGCTTCATGTGTTTTAGGAGCCAAACTAAACTGAGGCGGAGTCACAAAGCAGCGAGTTCTCGATATTCTGAGGCTTCCAGTCGGCGTGTAACTCACCTGTGCATCTGTTTTTTAATATTGTGCATCCTATCACTGAGAACATGAGAGTGAATTCAACTTCTGCTCTTTTCTAAATGACCTAAAATAATGCTGATTGTTTGGCTGACATTTCTAAACACTTCTCGTACTGCGGAGTTCTGGTCTTGTGTTTGGGGCGCGGCATCAAAGCGGCTGTTGTTACCAGAGCGTGAAAAAAAAAAGGCTTTTCTAACAACTAATCACATGTCAGATAAGGTCAGTGGAAGATAACGGTCACATCGTGTCCGAACTCAGTTTCTCAAACAGTTTGCCAGAAGAAAAGTGAAGCAAAGCCGCTCACAGGAAGTCCTTTGGTGAGGGGCTTTCCAGCGTTGCTATGACACTCATGACCACAAATAAACTTTGACCCCTGAGCAGAGAGTGTGTTGGTGTGATGGAGGAAATTACATTTTAACTTGACTGCCGTCCAAAATGCTGACAGGCCAAAGGAGATCTCAGGGCTTACGAAGTGTTATCCCTCTATTGTGTGTTTGTGTTAGTGTTAGTGTGCGCTAACTTTGTATATAAAACACTTTGTTGTTGGCGTGCATGTGTAGCTTTGTCCTCCCCGCCCTGCTGAATTAGTGTTTATCCCCTGACCGGGTGTGAAGTGAAGCAATCTTTTGGGGGTCTGCCCATGTGAATCTGGGTCCTCAGAGGGAAAGTTAATGAGTTTTCAGGATGGCTAACCAGCACAGCGCTGAAACTCTCTGACCCTGTTCTGAGATCAGAATCAGGTTTTTAAGATTTGATCATCAGAACCATCATGGGAAGACTTTGACATCTTTACTACACAGAGACTCCTGTAAAGAAAATTTTACCTGCAGCATCTGAAAACTAACCCTCGATGTTTCCAAAGATTGAATTAGGGCTGGGCGATATGGCCTCAAATCAATATCATGATATATTGATCAGTTCACCTCGATAACAATAAATAGACGATAACTACTCCACAAGCTGCTCACCCCCTCCCACATAAACTTCGTCTACTTCAGCTGCTCCAACTTTCTCTCCGTCCTCCATCTCCTCTCCTGTCTTTCCCTCTTTGTTACAGACTGGATGGGGTGGAGTCACATCTCTGATGTAGAACAGCGTCTTAAAGGGACATGAGACCATAGCCTACCTACACACATCCAAAAACAACTTTGATTGATTTATTTATTTGACACCGAATATATTGACATGGGCAAAATGACGTCAGTTATTGTCGGAAATTTTGGTGTCTGTAAAATTTTGGTTTATTGCCCAGCCCTAGGTCGAAGTTTTGCCAACTTTACTTAATGTCTAACCCGGGATATTTAAGGGTTAATCTGTGCTGAATTTATCCGGCATGCTCCGGCGATCCGCAGAGGAACGAAAAGAAGTCGGTGGAAGTTGACGCGTTAACTTGAATGGTTACGATCAGCTACGATCGGCGGATACTGCCTTTTTTGTCGCCATTCAGGATGAAGGTGGAAATTGGGGGTTAGCCTCTTTGCGCCAATTACCTGAATTTACTTATTCATTCTGACACATCATCATGGGACCATGAATAGCTTTACAAGTAGGGTGCCAACCCCCCAACAGATGCTGCCAAATCTGATATAATGAAGATTTTTTATTTTTTTTTGTAATTGCTAACAGAGCTTTAAAAAAATTCAAGGGTTCATCAAAGCCATCGAGGATTCGTCCTCTGGGAACTACGAATGTGAGTCCTGAAGTTCATGACAAGTCACTCAACAGCAGATGGAACATTAAACCACATAACAACACGAAGACGAGAGGAGGGAATTCAGAAGATGTGTCATCGGGATTCATGCCTCTGGGACTGTGAATGTTGACATAGCTGATACTTTCAATTGTTCCTGATCTGGATCCAATCACAGCAGAAAAACCAACATGGTCGTCACTGGAGCGCGGCCACTTTTGTGAGCGGACAACAAAGAAACCAACAAAGTTACCGGCCAAGAAAACGCCATGACACTACACAAACGAGGGAGTCCATATTTATCCTGGGATTAGTCCAAAACCTAACGTAATGCTGAGCAAGCGTTTGGCTCACGCTTTAGTAGCCACACTAGAGACGTCATCCTCCAGTGGGTCAAACGCCAAGCATGACGGTCACCTGCTCAGGAATGACTGAGTGTGACATTTTCTGTAGGAAGTATAAATTCAGGCATTCTTAAAATGTTTATGTCACATTCATTCAGAGCTCCACTACCACCAGTTACTGCAGTAAAGACCTCCCAACATGCCGACTCTATGCTGTCAGCTCTCCGCGGATCATGCACTCATGGAAACTGTGAGATACCACAGAGTGTGCATCAGCAGCTCAACGAGCCACATGAGTCGAGGTGTCTGCCAGGAAACAAGCGGGGAGCAAAAACTCATGTTTGAAGCTACAGAAGAGACGTATCCTGATGGTACTGAGACGACCATGTCTTACAACGGTCTACGATTCAGTGTACTTCTCATTTTGGGTGGACTCTTGGTTTGGTGCGCAGACGAGCCAGAAGAATCCAAGGTAGCTTACTGTATGAATTCCACTTCCACCTAAAATAACTCCCCCAGAGGACGAACAATGAGCGCTTTGACTCCTGAGTGCGATTATGTGATTGTCGGTGTCTGCTGAAGAGTCCGTTTCATTGTCGGAGAAAAAGCTCGACTCTAGCTGGCAGTTTTAAATGAAACCAGACCGAGAGTCGGCTGGCAGAGGAAGAGGGGGTCTCTGTTTTCTTGGGTGGCATTCAAAGCTCTGTGAGCACTTACAGTTACCCCAGAATATACTGGCTGTCTGCAGACAAAACATTGTTCTCAAACATTTCCAAATGGAGAGGGGAGGAAAAGAGAATTGTAAACAGACACGCGGAGAAGAAGTCGTAAAATAAAAGACAAGGAGCACAGGAGAAACCAAAATACAGTGGAACAGGTATGAAGTCAGTTTGGAAATGTCCAGGTTAACTTGAATGTTTGTCAGGCTGAGTCATCTTATTGAGATGTGCGTTCAGATCCTGGAAGTTATCCAGCTAAGATAGAGCAGTTATGATACGATAGGAAAGATTCATCTTTTTCCTTTTCCTTTCTTCTTTTGTCAAAGTTTTGTTTACAAACCAGTTTCCTACCAACACATTTGTGTAATTCAACTTCTGGGACAAATCCAGGCATGAAAACACTAAATCAGACGAAGAATGCTACGTAAGGAAGGCCGGTTTAAGTCTGGTTGAACTGTCAATGTGGAAGAAAAAAAACTGATATTATAGCATGTTGAAGGTGGGGTAGGCAGGAATCCCCTGTGTCGTTCATGAGCCCAAACAAAGTTAGCGTGCTACAATATCGGACAGTAGAAACCAACCAGAAAGTTCGGAAAATTGTCTGAATCCTCCTTTGGCCACGACTGCCGACACAAGCAAGAAAACAAAGTAAATACCGGAGACTCTGGAGGAATAACGGGCGCTTAAAACGGAGGTAGACCGGACAAGAGCTAAAAAGCCGGGTCAACATAAACGATGGGGGACGCTTGGGGATCTTGGTGACCCTGTAACCTTTCTGCTGGACAGGTAAACCGCTTTAACAAAGTAAGACAAGTGTCTGTAACAGAAGTGTTTCTTGTCAAACGGACCTGCTGTAGCGTGTTGTAGCGCCATCGCTAAACTGTCCTCCCTCGGGTCCTGGACTATGTCACTTTATCCTCGTTGTAGAAGTCCTGCAAACATTGTGTTTGCTGGTAGTCTGTTGGCATCTACAGTAGCACCAATGCTTTTGACTTTCACCTTGACTGGGCCCCATTTGTAATGATCTGAAGGATTTATCTGCATTATATCTGAATTTAATTGGAACAATACGAGCGAGCAGGAGCGGGAAAACTGGTTGGGAGGGGTAGAGTTTACATTCAAGATCTCTCCTAAAAACTGGAACTCAGATCCTGACTACAACACCTTTAATGTACTGACTGATTAGCTTATTGAAACAGTGTTGTAGATTGGCAACAGTGGAGGAGACTTCTGAAGTGCTGGGTTCTAGAGTGTTCAGGGGAGAAGATTAAAAGAGATGGTAGCTGAAATGATCGATGCAGACAGAGGCAGAAGTGAGAGTTTTCAAGGACACTAATCTAAGAGAGGTAATAAAGAGCTGGAAATCCTGTTAGAAGGTCAATATAAAGACCAAAACATTAGCATAACACCCACTCCTCCAATTATACCTCTAGTTTAAAGAGTGTGTAGTTATCCTGAACTTTGTGAAAGGAGTATGAAAAGTCGTACTATTAAAGCAGCCTCAAACAGATTCATGTATTTTTATGCTAAAGTCAAAAATCTAGTTATAAACAATGAGCATCTTTGCACAATGACAGTAAATGCATGGATTTGCTTTGGGTAAGTGTAATTTACAATAAGTTTAGCTCTGAGGAGGTAACGCCACTTTTGTACCACTAGAGGGAGCCATATTCCAGCAAAAGGCCCATTTAAGGCAGACACGGTTTGATTCATTGATTAGTGTTTGTTCCCTCAAAGATAAATATATATCTGTACTTTTCCCCTTAGATCAGAAGTGTGTATTTTCTGATCTAACAGTTCAGGATCTGATCGGTGTTGAAATGTTTTACACAATGGCTTATGTTTTAATTTATTCCCCATAATACATTAACCATCTGTAACTGTTGTTTTTTTCTGCTCCTGTTCCCATGGCTGTGAGATGAGTCATCTGCGTTACCTTCACGATATCATCTATTCCCACGTTGCACATGTGCTAATAAATTTCCCCCCCTTCAAAAATTAACCCTGATGTACAATAAAGGAGGGAGATTTCAGGATGAGTCACAGCCTGGAGAGAATGGAGGGAAGACGGGGAGAGAATAAAAGCTTCAGTAGCATTTGGATGAGGCAAAACAAACAGAGAAAATGGATAAAGGGAGGAAAAAGGGGGGAGGAGGGGTGATGGAGAGAGCTTGCGTCGATGAGTCAGATTCATTATCTGATGGAAAAGGGAGGGAAGGAGGGGAGGACGGGAGAGCGAGGCGAGTTCAGGAATAGTATAGAAGAAATAAGGGGGATGAGTCAGAGGAAAGGTGGAAGGACGAGGTCAGAGGAGGCCATGAGTGGATGGAATAAGGAGTAAGGAGAAAGGATGAAAAGTAGGACATATGAGAGGAGAAGAAGAGATAGAAACCTGAAATAAAAAGACATGGTCACACTGTTAATGGTTTGATTTACAGAGCATTGCCGGAGTCTCAAAAATCTGGACTTGAATTAAAATTGGAAAAAAAGTGAAAATTGAAATTCGATGGATGGCGAATATCTCCAGTTTAACTCCCTCCTTACAAAGTGATGAAAAAATTAAAGGAGTCCAGTCCCAGATGTTGTAGAGCGGATGTGTATCTGACCTTGATTTGAGCTCAAGTAGAAGAAGAAGAGCATTATCCTTGAGGATCTGATCCAAGTCTCAGTGTAAGGTTTTGTATCTGCACTTTATGGACTGTGTTGGAACAGACACAAACTTGGCGGGACAAGTTGTTCCGATCTCTAAATGTGAAACAGCACTTCCCTCTACTGGCAGCTAACACACCCTCTTCCTGCCATGTGAGTGTGTATGTGTATCTGTGTGTGTGTGTCTGTGTGTGTGTGTCTATGCACAGACATGCAAAGGGCAACTCAGACTGCTGATAAAAGTCAAAAGTTACAGTTTATACCTTGAGTAGAAACAGTCATAAAACTCTGATCACAGAGACGGTGATAAGATACCAGAAGAAAAGAAAGTCTGTTTGAGAAGCTCTTCTTCTACGATAAACGTGAAGTGCCGACAGGTCGTAAAAATACTTGTCCTGTACTCGACCTATAAATCTAACTTTGAAATGTCATCATGCATCTTTTTTTAGACCTAAAACAGAAGCAGGTTTTTGTTTCGATGGACACAAAATCATAAATCTGTTCTACTTTGTACTGAAATATGCATTTCTGTGCTGATGTTTTGATTGGTGAGAGCTCTTTTGGAAGTGTTTCCTCGTCAATACGATCACTTCCACTACAGAGTCATGTCTGTTTTTAATGATCTCAGCCATCCTGAATTGATTTCCCTTTTTACACAAAGATTTCTCCAGATTTTCGCTGAATTTCTAAATGTCTCGAGCCAATGCGGTGACCTCCACTTCAGAGACAGGGCCTTTTTTAGTGCAGTGCTGCCTCTTGTATTTTAAATTATATCATAAACTTTTTTAGATAATGAAATCTCTGAGAAGTCTGAGAAACATCACTGTCAAACTGTTGAACTGTTGGCTCACACGGTCTCTAACAGCGTCGTGTCGTTCATGAACGTTTCGTCCAAAAGTACAGAACTGCTGAGTGAAAGACGTGAAATGAATCACTCCGATACCTGATTCGTTTCTTTTCTCAGTTCAGTTGAGTTCAGCTGCGAGCCTGACGTGCCGGTCGGGAGTGGAACTGCCGCCTTCGACTCTTTGGCGAACGACACACAGCCAGTGAGCGAGTGGAGTCTTGGGATTTGCTCACAGAGAATGAACGATATCAGTAAGACTGTGAACGAAACGAACAACATGAGTCAGGCAGAGGAGGGAGGGGTGTAGCGTCGTTCATGAACTGCCGAGCAGCAGTTAGTTGACTGGTTGGTTGAAATACGCTATTTGATATCTTTAAAAGTAGCAGAATCCCCGCTACAGCTGCCATGTTTAATTATTTTTAATCTCTCTCCTTTTTCCGCGAAATAAAAGAACGACGACTTGCGCTCGTTTAGCGGCGTGCTGCTCGCTGCTGTGTTGTTTCCTCCGACGGCGACACACAGAGAGGTGAGTTTTTCAGGGCAGGGGAGTGATTCTTCCTTCAGGACTTGGCGGGTGAACGACATGTGTCACCGTGAACGACGCCGTGACTTCAGCAGCAGGGGAGGGGAGGGGCTCGTTCAATGAACGAACTCGCCGCTGTGTCACTCACTCATGTACGGGGCTCTGAAGCACTGACTGATTCAGTGAACGAATCTTTTGAACGAATCATTTTAATGAACGGATTCTAAAGATTCAGTACAGTCAAAACAATGGTTCTTCCTATCACTAGTCTCTCACAGAGTTATAAAGCTGGTTCCATCTTTACTTCTAAGACACTCTACTGCCCTAAAATGTCCCCATTAAGTATATATATATATATATATATTCCACAAAACCCTCAAAATTATCAGTTTTATTATTTGTTGTGTCTTCGCTCTTTTTCACTTAAATGTTAAATTGAAATGATTTAGAAAGTGTCCTGACTTTTTAAAGTTGTGGTTGTTCATTTTTGGTTATCTAAGTCCGGATCAGTGTCTCTGTAGGGCAGCATCAGGCCTGAAGGTCACGGTTGAATAGGTCTACTATAAAAGAAAAACAGAGATATTATAATAAATCAGCCTCCTTTTTAAGTCGACTTAAGGAATTCATTTGTTTCTGCAGAAGAACCCTGAGTACGTTCAGCTCGAGCTTGGTGCAGATTAGCAGCTGACATTTATGAGTTTCCTTTCTTTCACACTCTGCAATCAGATGAAAAGGAACTAATCCATCAGTCTATTTCAAAGCAAAACCAAGGTTAGGTTAGGGACAGGTGATCTGCTGGTTGCCAGGCAACAAACAAAGAGAGAAAAAGTTAAATCACATCTTCGCTCATTTAATTATAGGCCTCTGTGAAGCTATGTTGCTGCACCTGAAGTTCTCGCTGTCCTCTTGATACCTGCTCAGTCTGACTGTGTTGTAAACTGACATAAGATCAGTTAGTATTATACAGTAAATGCTTATTTTTAGCATGTTATAACAACAATGAATAAAAACCTTTAGTTCTATGTGGTTTATAAGAATAATACAGGATGTTTGGACATTATTGTGAATATTTGTTTATTTGTATGTTTGTTTGGAACCCCATTAGCTTCCACAAAGTGGTTGCTAGTCTTCCTTAAAATCACAATACATACAGTTTCGTTTTAAAGTCCTTCTTATTTGCTGTGTGCTCCCAAGGTAGTTGATTCCACATTTCCAAAGATCTAAATAAAACCATTCTCCTCATAAAATTGGACTTGGAGAAAGGAACAGTTAAATGACCAGAGCTGACCTGCCGAGTGACATGTTGATGACAGTAGCCACTGTACACCAATTAGTCCACAAAGAAAGTTGGATACCCTTTGAATATGGCAGTATAACAAAGAATATTTATATTTAACTTGTTCTGTACCTTTAACCGCTCTAAGGTGGTGTGCAGCTCATTCACATTCATTCTATAAGACATGTTAGTTAATGTTAATGTACGTTGGCCTGTAAAAGTGCTATAGTAACGGAAACACGTCCAACTTTCAAAGTCAAGGAAGGACTTTTTAAATCAAATCTTTAAATCACCATTTAGTATCAGTTTATTTAAACTGGGGTCAGATTTCGTACAGGTACCGGGAGGTCTCACCTCACCCTGTTTGGATTCTGTATCATATAACCACCAACTAACTACACATTATACTCAACTATCCACAATCACAGTGAAGATGCTTTTAGACGTCTGTATCAGAAGTACCTAACATTAGAGATGGGAATCACTAGAGGCCCCTTGGTAGGATATTATCACGATACTTGGGCAACGATACAATATATTGCGATTTATACATTTTTTTTTTTTTACTGTTTAGCTAATTTAGCATTTGCCTTTCCTTTATATTTGTCTTATTTACTCTGTATTTTCTTGGAGGCGCCAAAATCAGGCAACTGGACTGTGTAGAGTTGAGAAGACGTTTCGCCTCTTATCCAAGAAGCTTCTTTAGTTCTAGAACAGTCCAGTTGCCTGATTTTGGAGCCTTCAAGAAAACCACGACCTGGATGAATGAGAATCTACATGGACATACTCTGAATCTTATTTTCATGTCGCACATCTTGCAAACCTTATATATTTTCATTGTACTAACTCTCTCCTGCTCTATAATGTCTCCTCTGCCAACCTCACTGAACAAACAGTTGATTTTATTTTCCATTATCATAGATTTGACTTCATTTAAGAAATTAATACGATATATCACCAAACAAAATATCATGATACTATGCTGTATCAAAACCTAATATTGGTAAATGGTTGCATGGGCTAAAAAAAGAGACCTACTTTGATGTATTATTGATTCATTTTTTAACATCTTTGTTTTATTTATTGGACGTTTTGTGCATCAGAGACAGAATAACTGGGCTGTTTCCCTGTTTAAGATTTAGTTTGTTGTTTCCACTGATCATTTTTATGATTATTTTAAAAGAGTTCACCGAAAATGAAAAATGTGTGGTATGACTGTGTATGACAGGGCTCCTCAGTATGGTGTAATATTCACTTCAGCCACATGGTGGAGCTATACATCTGTAATATCAGGATGGTGCTGCATGGTGAATATAGATGAACACTCAGGGAGGACAGTGTCTCAAAAATATACAAAATAAAGTTTTTTTTCTTTTATTTTTAATTGTTTTGAAGTCATTTTTTTAAATTGGTTAAACTCAGTTACGGCGCACTGACCTCAGATTTTTATGTATTAAAAAATGTCATTTGTATTTGTTTAATCGAGTTCTTATCAGTGAAAATGTGAATGAGTTTTTGAGCGTGTGTCTCATTAAGTAGCTTCAAGTCTGGAGCTGTAATGACGCCCCGGTACGGCGTTTCTGGGTAACCTGGCGCGTTGATATTAACGGGTCACCAGAGTTCGTTCTCAATCTCTTTGGAGCGCTGCCATTGGTCAGACATGCCTGCAGTTGGTGCCAGCATACGATTAGCCTTTAAACTGAGCCTGACTTAGTACAGTGGGCATAAGGTGGAGCGAGATTAGGGTTAAGTACTTTGTGAGGACTGTGTGTAGATTGGACCGGACTGGATTTTAACATTTTTGAGAGGCAGAGCTGTAAAATTAAGCTGATTAAAAACAGGGGAGGTGGACTTCCAGTAAATTAGCTTAAGCTCGGCTTTGAAGGCAAGGGTCAAAAGTTCCCGATGACCGTTAAACATTTAGAGGCTGATGCACAACGCCTATTGGTAAACCGACATTTAAAACAGGTTACAACGAATAAGAAACACACAAGAAACAGTGCAAAACAAAAAAACGGAGCATCCATAGCAGCAAGAAAAGTTTCCACAAATTGTCCAAAATGCGTGCGGCTGTGTTGCGCGTCACGCTGACGGAGGTTTAAACTATTGAGACGTGGAACAAAGATGAGGGGCTGACAGAGGCTCCACTGGAGAGGCTCTACAGCACTGAATAGGAAGTTGGGTGAATAGGATTTGGAGGGGTGACAAATCGAACAGGGGATTAGGTATGTGTGCCTGTTTGTGTGTGTGTGTGTGTGTGTGTGTGTGTGTGCGTGTGTGTGTGTGAGAGAGAGAGAGAGAGAGAGAGACACCAGCTGGCTGAGTCCTCCTCTCTTTAACTGAGGAGGCGTGTGTGTGAATGTATGTGTTTTTTTAAGTATGCGCTCGCTCTGTTCGTACTGAGACAAACCCGAGTATAAACCTGCGTTAAGATCACGTGTTTCCCTGCACTCATGAATTCTTCATTTTCCATCTACACTCACTGACCATCTCTCTGTGAGAAAGAAACAGTTTCATCTAAAGTACGATCAACCAAAGAGATAACGTCTGATGTGAGAGGACAAGAGTGGACACTTCAGCCTCTCCACTAAGAAACTCCTCCAGTAACATTTGTTTAGAGTTCAAAAGACCTTTTTAGGGTGAGTTAGAGTTGAGACTGTTTATAGAACAGACGCTCTCTACCTCCTCGCTGGATGAAACACCACGAGAACAGCACCCTCTGGTGACGGGCTGCAGTATAGGTCATAAACCCCGCCTTCTCCAGCAATCCCTATGGAGCTGTGGACACACTTTTGAAATTAATTACACAGAGTTCGGCGACTCTCCCGCCGTATGCTTACAATGCTACTGCGCAATGTTAGTTTCAGGAAGTGAAGAAAAAACCTGGAAATGCCGAGAGCTTTTTGGCTTTAAATGCGTATACTGGCGGAAGGCGGAGCCAAGTTGTCCATAATATATACAGTCTATGATAAAAACCAAGTGACTACGTTCGGTTGGCAGTGCAGCTAGTATTACCCTTATTTTGTTGAGTTAGCGTCACTATTGATGGAAATGTTTATATTCATGGTAGAACATCCAAAGGGCCTGACAGTAAACCCATTTTCATATGACAGTAATAAAGTTAAATATCAAACTTACTTTTCCATGTATTAAAGTACTGTAGGGACGTTTGTGAGGTCTAACAGGAATATTACATCACCCTGAAACCCTTAAAACCATCCCTGTAGGATTTTTTCTTCAAACCTTGAACAAACAAAAAGAAAGAGTAAGCAAACACTTCCTGCTTTCCAAACTTTCAAATTGAGGAATGGTGCAATTACAGAGACTGATAGTGCTTGATTTTTGTTTTTGCTGACTGCACACCTTGACGGTGCATTAATTCACAGTTTATCATCCATATAGAGTTTTTTTTTGTTTTTCCGCTTGAATCACCATTAGTCATATTTTATGACTCACTGCGGTTATATAAGCTTCTTTGTCGGTGCTTCTAAAGCTGCTATAGTGGCTGTTGTTCCCAGAAGATGCTTAAAAAAGTAAAGAGTGGGATGCTCTCATGGTTGCAGGCTATATGGAACATGCGTGATGTTTAGGCTCTGGTGCCAGAAGACGTGGGCGAGTGTGAGCAAAGAGAACTTTCTGTTTCTACAAATAGATTAGCACACTTTCAATCACTCCAGGATTTGAATAAAGGCAAACACTGCTGCTGCGGTGTCAGACCCTGTTGAAAAGCAGAATTTATGGCATCGTTTTTATAAGCTGCAATTTCTTAAAGCAGATACTGTGAATGTGAATTGAGCGGCTTTTGCTCCACTAATGCATTCGAATCAACAAGCCAATTATCGCCAGTGTAATTATCTTCAACAGGCTCAGTGTAAAGACTCAGTTTGTCATTGATTGACCATTGACTGGCAGGATTCGTCCTTGTGGCAAATTGCTTTTTAAAAATTCCTCTTTTCCCTCCTTGCATTGATTTTCAAGGGACAATGGGGAAGTCAATAACAATTCAGAGGTTTTACAACCACTGATTTAAAGTGAGAATGAGGCACATAAAGAAGCGTTTCAGAAGTGTTACGAGCCGTAATACTGCAAGGTCAGGTTTTGTCAGAGAAAATGAGCTTGGAGAACCGCCTGAAGGTCCTGAATGCTGGACCTATCTCAAGAATATGGATATTTGCATGTGGAGACACAAAGCAGGCTGGTATTATCTGGGCCGTTTGCTAAACCCTATCTGAAAGAGCTCGTCCAATCATTGACTACACGCTCGTATCTTGGCACATTAAACCTGACGGGTGTTTTCTCCATGCATACATGCACAGAGCAGAATGAGAGGCATGATTACCAATGAGAGAAACCGGGAAATACCGTAAAAATGCCACAAAAACAACCATCTAGGTCAGTCGATACCGTGGGAAAACAAATCAGGGAAGAGTGAAGGTAGACGCAGCTAATTTTGCCGTCTAAAAGGCTCTGAAACAGCATCTTAAACAAACTTGCAAATGCATCAGTCTGACTGAAATCACACTAGATCCAATATCTTATAATCGAACAGACATACTTAAACAATGTGGTTAGGTTTAATTTTCTCTTCTATGTGGACCAATCAGTTCTGAGTCTGCTCGGTTTTTAGGAAGGAAGTCAGATAGTAAACAAAACCTCAAATGACAAAAAACGAAGACTAAAAAAGACCAAACTTTCCTAAAGTACAAAGAAAACAGAGCAGTAGAAGTGAGCATGAAAGACTCATTCTTGTCTGGTGTTTGTAAACTGGGATCAGGATAGTAGTCCAATCACCTCGCCTGCTCTGTAGGCTGTACCCACACCTTGACTTAACTGCATGTAAACATTACAAAAGTCAGTCGATAAGAGGACGTCTGGCTGAAACTGTCTCCTGGTACCTCCTGGTAGGGTAGTTCAGCTCAGCCGTTGTCAGCTTTGATAGTTATAGGATGCAGACTTTACACTTGTGATCACTTTGCACCATTGCCCTCTGATGATTGCTTTAAATAGGGTGATCATATTCTGAATCCCCAAAAAGAGGAGACAGCTACCCGGGGGCAGAGTCACGGAGTCATGCGTAGTTAATTTTTAGAGTTTTTCGGGTCGGATGAAGTTTTTTTTACACGCTTCCAACTCAGTTAGTTCACGCTACACAAACTCAAAACTTCATACAAATCCGCAGACACTTGAAGGATTTTATAAACTCCCCCGGACAAGGCCGAAGAGCCCCCCAAAAAGAGGACATGTCTGGGTAAAGAGGATGTATGGTCATCCTACTTTAAAAGGGTTTTTACTTAATAATGTGCTTCAGATTTCTCCAGATGCACAATTTTAACTCTTACATACCAAATCTCAAGATAGTTTGAATTCAGAGTAAGAAATCTGCAGCTGTTATAGAGAGTTAGACTGTTAAAATAATATATGAAAGGCTGAAAATGTAAAATAAGGCTCAGCGAATGGTTGATTTGGATTTAGTCACATGGGGGTGTTTATAGAAATTAAACCCTGATGATCATCATGGATCCACTTCCAGATACCAGAGAGAAGGAGGAAGGTAGTGACTACTATGTATGTATGTATGCACACACACCCATACACCCCCGCCGCCCTCCCCCTTGAATCGCCCGTGGCCTGGCCTTAAGAGGAGTTCTGTTGCTGGGTAATGAAGAGGAGGGAGGCTGCGAGGCAGGTGCTGCTGCCGGGGAACAGTGGACCACTTGTGGCTCCGTTGAGTGTCTCTCCACACTCACCCATCTCCTCTCTACCCCTCAGCCCCCCCCCGCCAACCCTTCAACTTCACTTCATCTCACACTGTCTCACCCCCATCGTCATCACGAGCAGGTGTGAGTGTGATCCCCCTGCCTCCTGCCCGTCAACCTCCCCCGCTCCTCGCCGCAGCCGCCGTTTTCTCTTTTTTTAACCACTACCTACAGAGTCAATTTATGGCTGAACACGTCTGCGCTCTGATTGGTTCATTTACATACGGAGCATTGAGCACACAGTCTAATCAGAGTCTGATTTAAATTCCTGGAGTGAGGAAGGGGTGTAACCTACGTGTGACTCAGCCTCCGTTATGTTTATTCTACTGGCTGCATTTTTGTACCTCGACTGCAGACAAAAAAACTGCAAAAAAATCAAACAAAAATGTGGCAAAACATCATCGTTTTTGTCCTGGAAATATAAAAGTGCAAGTAGAGGACTGGGGAAAAGTTCGGCGTCACATAGAGCTCCTAAAAACGGCGTCTGGCTGCAGTTACGGCCACTCCTTTAATGTGTCGCTGATGTGAACAAAATGTGCTCCACAGATGAGTCTCATGACAGTCCTCTCAAGGGTAATGGGCTCTGAATGAGGTGACGAACTATTAAGAAGTGATCAAACTCCCATTTAGGACATCAGTACAGCTCATTTTCCCGTGCTTTGTCTCCGCACAGATGGATGGCCGTGCCAAAACAAAACACGTGTAAACCTCCGATTTCCAGGAGATGAAACCTGCTCTCTCTGTGTGTGTTTACTTTGACATCAAATATGAACAAATCAATAGGACATTAACTTTATAAATCACGGTTCTGTTGATCCGAATGAACCCAAATATATCCGCCAGCTTTTATTTAATCAGTGTAAACACAGACTGGTGAACTATCCACCGATGACACCGAGTCTAATTATTCATAAATAATAAAATGTTAAGGGAGGACTTTTGACATTTTCCGAAAATGTCAAACAATTCATTTCAACAATTGAGGTTTATTGTTTTAGTTTGCATATTAAGTCTCTGCAGTCAACCTTGAAACTGATGAGCTGCGTGTGTTTATGAAGCATCTACCTGGTTCAGCTGTCCTTCATCACCACTGAATGTCACTGAAGATTGTTTTTCATGAGCTGATAATAAAAACACAGAAGTGAAATATGAACTGAAGGAGTTTTAATAGTAATGTGGACTCATCTATTGTAAGTCTAGACACTTCAGTCAAAGCAGTTATCAACAAGTTGTTAAATGAAAAGTTTTAAACAATTTTGTTTAATTTTGGTCAAAGTGGGAAATTTTTGAGTAATTTTTTTAGCTTAAAAAAAGACGTTAAAGGTGGTGTAGTCAGGATCTGAGGAAGTTCCAGTTTTTGGGAGAAATCTTGAATGTAAACTCTACCCCTCCAACCAGTTTTCCCCTCAGCTCCTCCTCTCCCCTCAAGCCCCGCCCACAAACAGACGCTCCTGCTCGCTCGTATCGTTCTGATTAAATTCAGATATAATGCAGATAAATACTTCAGATCATTACAAATGGGGCCCAGTCAAGGTGAAAGTCAAAAGCATTGGTGCTACTGTAGATGCCAACAGACTACCAGCAAACACAATGTTTGCAGGACTTCTACAACGAGGATAAAGTGACATAGTCCAGGACCCGAGGGAGGACAGTTTAGCGATGGCGCTACAACACGCTACAGCAGGTCCGTTTGACAAGAAACACTTCTGTTACAGACACTTGTCTTACTTTGTTAAAGCGGTTTACCTGTCCAGCAGAAAGGTTACAGGGTCACCAAGATCCCCAAGCGTCCCCCATCGTTTATGTTGACCCGGCTTTTTAGCTCTTGTCCGGTCTACAGAGAAGTTACCAACTTTTCCTCAGTCCATCCTGTCTTTAGCAAGTTTATATTTGGTTTTCTCATGCGGTGATATCCACCTTAGAGTCACTATAGATTACAGCCACCCAGTATTGGTTTCTGACCTTGTCCGTTTTGCACAGATTTCTCTAGATTCTTCAAATCTTTCGTAAAATCATGAACTAAAGTTGATGAAAGATTCAAACTACTTTTAATTTTACATCGAGGAAACTTTGAACTTTGAAACTGTTGAATTATTTGCTCACACGGTCTCTCACAGAGTGGTGACCCTCCTCTCGTTTGAGGGTGACCATCTTCTGAATCCCCAAAAAGAGGACACGACCACACGGGGGCGGAGTCACGGAGTCATACGAGGTTAATTTTGAAAGTTTTTCGGGTCAGATCGAGTCTGGTCACAAACTCGAATGTTGCGTACAAAACCCCGGACATTTGACTGATTTCATAAACTCCCTCAGGTAAAAGAGGACGTATGGTCACCCGACCTTCGCTGCTTTGTTTACGGTGAAATAATTATTGGGGACATTGGGTTTTATCTAGAACAGGTAATAAAAGAAGAACTATACCACCTCCGTGTCTGAAACTTTATGATTACGGCCATCTTGCACTCAACACATTCCTGTTTCATCAGCCTTCACAGTTAAATCCCTTCCTCTCCATGTTCCAGCCATGTTTTTTTCTCATGGCCGACTCTCACTCTTCTCTAATTTGAAGGTCGTTTTCCATTGTGGAGAAATCACCAGTGTGAGCGCCACAGAGGAAGCTGCTTCAAACAGCCAGCACCACGGCGCCCGGATCGTGCACAGCCAGGGATCATATGCCCTCTCATCTCCAGCGACCAGGCGCAATCTATTTCTCATTCTCTTCTCATTGTTGACACACTGTCATTGCAGAGCCGGGCTGCCTAGCAACAGAATCCTGGCAGACGTTTTTCCAATCTTCTGTCAGGCGGGGAAGCTCCGCCCCTCTCTGTCCCTGGAGGAATGATGGAAAGGTCACTTCACTCCTCGCCGTGTCTGACAGCACACAGATTGTCTTTTCTGAAAACTCTGAGGAGTGTGTGAGTGTGTGTGTGTGTTTGTGCATGTGTGTTGGAGGTCTGAGAGGTGGAGGGGGTGGGGGGAATCACTCACTGATGAGTGGGCAGAGTGGAAGCACTTTGCTCTCCATAGACCCGGGGATCGAACGCTGGAGGAGGGGGGTGTACTACCGAATCGATGATGCCACACTTTCCTCATCTCGGTCTGAAAGTGACCCCCGTCGGTCTGCTCCATTGTTGTTCTTCAGGAGGTCTGAGGCCCCGCGGAGCCGAGTTATCGGAAAACTCTCTCTTTTTATCTTTGTTACAAACTGGGTCATAGTAAAGTGTTTTTGGCCTTTTCAAAAATACGAGTTACGGGAGGGTTTGACTCACCCGCTTCACGCTGAGACGTAGGAACGAGCTGGCAACTCATGAAAGAGCTTAAACAGAGGAGCCCACGGGAAAACCCACAGGAGAGTACAGGCCGGTTCTGAAGACAAATATAGGATCTCCACCTTCTTTACGCTCTGAAAACACTCGTTTATATCACTGATGCGCTTTTTCGGGGGCTGGCGTGGACATTCACAGAGTCAGGCCCGAAAGCTGGAACACTTTTAAGCTCAAAACTCTCCCACCCTGACTGTTTTTTGATGAATTATTCTGAGTCACAGCTGTTTTAGCAGTAATTTTAATGTTTCTCTCATCTAACATACAAGTTTGATGTGATGCTGCATCTCTTGGAAAGGTAAGCCTAAAAAAATGAGATTAAACAAAGGTCAAATAAAGTTAAGCCAAGTTTTTAGATACCTAGAGCGCTGAGCGTTTTGTTGTTTTCCATCTAGTTTTATGCCTAGAACCCACTTTGTGTAAATAGCATGAGAACTTGCTGTTTACAACTAAGGATGGCGCTAAAGAGGCGTGTTTAGTTTGATATGAGATGTGGCCAAACACTTGGGCTGTCACGTTTTATCCAAAATTCAAACGTTCACTCGAACTCTGGGGAAAAGGTCGAATTGAAACGGTAAAATAAGCCGCTCTGACTCATAATAATACAGCATGTCACACACACACACACACACACACACACACACACACACACACACACACACACACATTTCCTGTCTCTCTTCAGCTGATCTATCTACTAAAGGCAAAAAAACGCACAAAAATATACATCTACGTTTTGAAAAACTGAGGTGGCTCACTGCTATCTTTAGGACACCGAAAACTTCTGCACCTTCAACTGACATAAAACTGGTCATTTTTTAATACAATATTCATAACTGCTACCTTTAAATGCCACCAACCATCATGCCATTGTGCACGCGGATTAAAATACAGCTCTTTGATACAGCAGTAAAAATCAGTACATCAAGATTAAAGGCCGACCTTTCTCTAATAAAAAGCACACGGGTCACTTTTTAATCAATCCTGTCCAACACAGTTACTGTGCACTTCTACCAGTTTGGAGAATCACTCTGTATCTGCTGTTTGAAGAACCGTTTCAGTGGATTTTACATCATTAGATGCACTGACATAACTAAAACAGCGACTAGTGTGTGAAGTCGAGTGTGCCGTCTGGAGCCAAGTACCAAATAAGTAACAGGCAAGTCAAAAGTTAAATATTTGACTTCTCACTCTTCTACATTTTTACAGCGACTCTAGACAAGTAAAGACGCAGATAAAACACAACAACCAGCAATCCTAATCTACAAACCAAAAGTCCTGATGAGTCATGAGTTTATCTTCATTAAATTCAAGTGAACTTTGTTACATAACACAGAGGTAGATTCTGATGAAGCCCAGATATAAAAGCAAAACAAACATGATGCAAAAACGTGCGTCACTCCGGTAACTTCTCAACAAACTGTCGGCTGAGTGTAAAAAACTGTTTTCCATCAAAAACCCTGAGTTCATGTTTTTGGATTGAGAGCAGAATGAGTCATCTGTTGTAAAAAGATGAGAAGGGAATCAAAACTAAATGTCTGTGTTGGTGTTCTGGTTTAATCTGACCCACGCCACATTAGCTGGACTGTGAAACTCAGCGGGGTGGGTGTAGAGGGCTACATGTTCATTCAGATGGAGGAGCTCTTGGATTGGGGGGTGGATTGACAGATTGACGAGGTTTAACTTTCAGCCTCTTTAGGATTTAAATCATGGACGAATATTTCCTTAAAATTAAAGGGACGGTTCTCTTGTTTTTGTATGTAGTGGTCTGAGAGTCTCAGCCTCTCTGTCCGTGTTACTAACCTGTTGTAAAATTAACCAAAAGAGTTGGGAGGTGATGTTTATTCTTCTCTATAAATCGGCTTTTTGAGTTAGTGTGCAAAGTTTCAAGTGCAGTTCTAAACAAGCTCTCAGGAAACTGCAGTTTTTCGCACTTCTGCTCGACCTTGAGCCGCTCAGTGTGGTACAAACATCACAAGAATGCCAATCGCTCATTAATACCACTTTAAATCTAATTAGGTTCACAATCTACACCCTCTCTTGAAGTTTCGAACATGCTGAAAATCAACATCGATGTTTTGGTTTCACTTTCTAAAAATCAGCTAAACAACACAGTTAAACTCTTGGTTCCCAGGCCAGTTTCTAAGCTGAGCTGGATCCGAACAGAACAACTCAAGACTCGAGAACCTTTTATATACAGTTAGTAATTATAAAAAGCTCCAGTGTTACAAAAAATTAATTATTTAACTCATTTCCATTTCTATCAGAGTTTCCTTTCATCTTCAACATCCACTTTTTCTCCTCCTGACCCGATCAATAAAGTTACACATCATTACAAGACGAAGAACAAGACAGTCAGAGCTCCATAGGCAACCTTCAAAGTCCTCCAGATGCATAATGGAGGAGAAGTAAAGGACCCGTCCCTCATTAACATTCCCCACAGTCACCTTCAACAATGCCTTTTCCTGACTGTGAGTGGCAGCACTCAGCAGGGAGATGGATTTCCCTGTTTTCATGTCAGAATATTTTAATGTGTCATCAAAGTGGCAGCTCATTTCTGGCACAGCGAAACTCTAAGCCCGAGCCAAACACTGGAACAAGAAGTCTGTCTGAGGGATAATATTAGCATACTGCCTCCACCGTTTGATACGAGAAGCAATTCAGACAAGACTTTATTGACTCTGAGGCAGGCGGAGTGCTGCAGTGATTGTAGACCTTTGTGCCAGTGGCATGAAAATAGAGATTGCAGCACAGGCAGAGGCTGTATGTAGAGTGTGCGAGACAAAGACGGAGAGAGAGAAAGAGAGGGAAAGAGAGAGAAAGGAGGCGGGTTTCTTTTTCTAAACCAAACACAGACTAGTGACAAGTCTTTAAATCCTGGTTCTGCTTAAACACACTTTGGATTAACAGGCCTCCGAGGAGCATCCAAAAGAAGCTTTCTAAATATTCAACCCTGAGCGAGAGAAACTAGAAACTCACACAACCAGACAGAATAATTTCAAGAACAATTTGGCAGAATCCAAAAGCAGAAACAGACAGATTAATTCACCGATTCAACAAATCAGCATCTCAGTCAAAAAGCGAATGCTGCCCTCATCTTTCTTTATGATTACACACTTTTTTCCACCCTAAATAACAGGGTCTCAGATCTCTAACAGCTTCTTTTATCAGCTCATTCACTTGACAAATACAAATATAAGATTGGGACTCAGATGATTGGGAACTACCGCGTCTGCAGAGCAAAATGATTAATATAGTGATTATTACTTCAAGGAAATGATTAAGAAATTATCATAAATGTTCTTCCTTGAGCTGCGTTCCCCTGCTGTAGTCCGTAATGGAGTGGCGTTTTGGTTGAGGGCGTGGCTCTCTGTATTGCTATCCTGCGGTCGTTACTAAAGTTGGTGAACTAGAGAAGCAAGCGGTTGACAACATTCATCTCTGGAGGGGGGGTCTAACTCGGTGTTACGGTGTGTTTGACCCTAAATTAATTTTAAGCCAGAATATCCCTTTAAGTGTAACGTCACGTCTGTTCTGCGCACCTGATCGGCCTTTACAACCAAAAGTGTGGGCTTTTATGCCAAACTCAGCCAACCTCCACTAAGACTGGTATCAATCATCATTCTGTTGTTGCCACTTATTTTGAATATCCATACCTCACTTTTCATCATCTCTCAATAGCAGACTGTTGTCACAAGAAGCTAACCGGTGCTTGGAAAACGACTTAAACCACTCTAATATTGAACTCTACATCCACCTTAAGAGACTGACGGATATATTAATCCACAAAAAAGCAGAGAAACCAAGAACAGAAAAGTCGCGGCCCTGCTACGACAACCACACTTGCTGTACATCATCCTTCATATAGGTAACAAAGCTCCTCTGAATCCTCTGAATGTTGCGCTTTTATAACATGTCTATGGTTAAAATGGAAAAAGGACAGAGGTTGGTTCACATGGTGACATTAGAAAACAAAAAAGCGACTCTCAGTATCTCTCTGTGGTTCTCAGAATTCACGATGAACTAAGTCACCTGTGGTTAAAAGCCTCCATCAGCGGCTCCTCACACTCTTATTTCTGTGAACTTCTGTGAGAGAGACATGTACTTGTACCTTGCTGCTACCGCTTCGCGCCTCGCCGTCCATAGCCTGTGTGAGTCATTTCCTTTTCAGAGAGTCTGGGCTCTTCAGTCCCACTTCAGAGACCACGGAGAGGAGAGAGGGGGCCACAACCACCACCACCGCCAGTGTCCTGTGAAATGTGGAGAAATCAGTCAAGAGTTACTGGAAGTTTTCTCTGTGAAATCTTGAGCTGAAGATGTCTTACCAACACAACAATTCACAGAAATGCACACGAAGGAGGCTGTAGAGAAGATATACAACATTTAACAGCAACAAGACTACAGCAGTTTAAAAGGAGCTAAAACTACAAAGTTGTTATTAAAAATGTTTTAATAGTCACATGAAAAATTTTACTGAGATTAACGGGGAAAATCTGAAAATATAAAAGGCAGGTACATATTTAAAAGAAAAACCTAACCCTAAACAAATTCTAACAAAATGTTTCTCAGCTGTTTTTTATAGTATTAGATGTCCTTAATAACAAACTAAAGTTTACCAAAGTTTGACCACTAGAAAGGTGTCATTTTCAAGATGGTATCCATAATGGGTTGGAGGCCCAGGTGAATACAGTAAAATTTTTAGCTAACAGATATCACCATAAAACTTCCCAAGTTTATAACTTACATTAAGACAAATAATTTTTGTATTACAAGTTTTGTCAGATGTTATGTTTGAACATCTAAATAAGGTAACATCTAATTAAATATGTGTGAATTTGCAGACATTTCCAGAACCGAAAACTGGACAATGGATAAAAACCCTTTCAAAATTCTTTTTTTATTTTGTTGACATACTAGAGTCAGAAGAGGACTTTGGATATCTCTTTTTATCACTCTGTAAATGAGAAAATACTCTCACCACCCCTAAACATTCAAAGATCTCCATGCGACACTGTCTGTGGGTCACAAGTTGTGCTTGTAATCACTTATCTATCATACAAATATGCTAACTAGAATATTACATGGTCTAAACATGTCTCAGGCGCCAGTATTCCTAATCTTGAATTAATACAAAGAAGTAATGGTCATTTTAAGGACCTGAAAAAAAACATGGAGAGATTTGTTAGAAAGTCATATTTGCGCCTGACTATAACAATAATAACTTTATTTAGCAGGCAATAAGATAAATAAATAAGTCAATCATGCATCATGTAAAATTTATGATTTAAAAGATGTTACTGATTCAGCGTTACAAAGTCAAGGAGCCCTGACAGAAAAAGGCTTGATCACCTTTCGCCTTTAGCCTCGACTTTGGACCTAAGGCTGTGGGCTGGCACATAGGGAGTCAATAAATCGGATATGTAGGTTGGGGCCAGACCTACCAACAGCTTTTTTGAGAACATCAACCGGTAATTTATTGATGGTCCCTTATTCAACACCCGATGTTGACAGCGAGGGTGCCCTGTGGATTCCAATATCCAACCTAAAACTAACTTCACTGCGGTGTTTACATGAAAAAACATTTGTTGCCTCGGCTGATTTTTTTGTGTGCCCCTAAATACATTTTACAATTCGCACACCTCTATATTTAGTCGCAAATGCGAGTGAAATGGTCGCACTGTCGAGTCTGAAAGTGATCAGTAAGAGAGTGATGTGAAACCGTCAGTTAAAATCAGTTCAAACCAGCCGAGCTGCTGCGTTCCGGAACCAGTTGGAAGCGGGAAAGTGATTTGTTACAGAGACCTAAGAAAAGGGAGTTAAAGTAGTCTAACTTTAAGAAGATGAATGCATAAACGACCCTTTCTACATCGGCGGGGGTAATAATGGATATAAACTGTTTAATGCTGTTGTTAAGATGGGGCTTGGTTTCAAGTCACACTGACAAGCTTCAAAACTCCTACAAAGTTGACATCCACTAACACAAAATGTTACTTTAACACTCTTATAAGACTTCTGATGTGTTTCCAAGTTACAACCACCATGTTTCACCGATTAAAACGTCGAATTTTCTGATAATTGGGCGAGAGTCGCCAACAACGGTTCTTTGACTGATACCTTTCTTCTTCTTCTCATGAATTTCCGGCAGAGACTGTACGTAAGGAGCGTAACGCTGCCCTCCACAGGATACCTGGGCTGTGTCTCATTTCAGAGACCGCATCGGGCTAAGTGCACTTCTGCACCGTCGAACGGTGCATTTGAAGCGTGCGTGACGTCACGACGGCGCGAACGGTGTCCCATTTGGCACGAGATGCTAAGAAATGCTAAGCGCGCTTAGCATTTTTTCGTGCCGTCGGTATCCCAGAATGCTTTGCGTGCCGCTGCACAGCTGCGCATTTCAGGTGAGAGGCTGGACTCGCTTGGAGACACAGCGAGTCTTCAAAGAAAATACAAGAAATCCAAAACCAGCAGACAGTCAGCTCAGGCTGTATGAGAGCATGATCTCTGAACTCACTAAAATCTGTAAACCAAACATTATAGATTTAGAGACAACTGATCCGCTCTGCTACAACTATCAAAAACATTAGAAATAAGAAAGCTGACAAAACTACAGCAGAGGATCAGGACAACATTGAGTTTTTTTTTCTTTTAAGATTTAGAGATTAAAGTTGTAAATTTAGGAGAATAAAGTCATAAAGTAAATAAAGTCATAAAGCTGCTTTTGTGGAGGGGGAAATGACTGAAGCTGGTCATCTGCAGGGTTATCTGTGGATGTATCAGCGGGTCATTCAGCAAGATTTTGTGGTTTCTGAAGAAACAATCAAACTGATGATGATCAACATTTGTGATCCAGAGGGAGTCGAGCTCAGACGAGCACCACGTCTCTGACACCGACGGTAACCTACACCTGCAGAGACACCAACACCTTATTATGGCATATAATAATAACCCCCCGCCATCTTCATGCTGTGATTTATAAGGTTTCCTGACAGGCGTCACACTTGGTTTTGCAGTATGAAGTTATTCTTTGTCTTTGTTTTTGGACTCAGATGTGGTTTCAGAGCAGCAGAGATCGACTCCCTTTTTCCTGCTAAATAAATCAACGAGAGACTTTTGTACTGGGTCAGGTATACGACCTCCATTTGAGCCATTTTCACTCATGCATTTTTGGGCACCCCTTCTGAGATGATGAGATACACCCTGAAGAATGTGTGTACCAAATTTGGTGCTTTTATCCACCGCATAACAATTTGGCCATTTTTTCAAGTTAACAGACCCTACTATGAGGTGGTGTGTTCGAGCCTTTTTTGGGACAAGGGGAATTTTGAAGTCTAGTGTCTACACAGGAAACTGAAAGAGGAAACAAGTGGTATAATCCTGTGTGTCCAAGTGGCTCAGGGGATAAGAACACTGACTGTGACTCCTGAGGTCATAGGTTTGAGTCCTACCTTGTCCACTTCTTGGTGAATTTTGAAGGTCTAGAGTCTACAAAGTACAGTGATATATGAAAAAAATTATTGTTGTCGCGTGTGTCCACACGGGTCAGTGGGTTCAAGCCTATTGGGGACGCCCTCTGCTCAGCGACCGGCCATCCGCCGCGCGGCGAATGACCATCGGCTGAGCAGAGGACTACGCCCTCAGCCATCCGCCCCTATCATCCCCCCCATCAACCCTTCTCCCCATCCTTACTCTAAAGTTCAGCCTGCTCTGACTTCCTTTAGCATAACCCCCCTATTTTCTCTCTCTGCAAACACCGGGGGGGTAAGCCCAGACCACTGGGCTGAGCGGGTTTCGAACCAGGGCTGCCCAGCTGACCAGCATTCTGGTGTCAGTTGCATACCCCCTGCGCCACCGGATACCGTCCACATTTGGGGATGATGTTCGTGCCCTTTTATCTTGGAACTTTGGCTGCTGGACTATAAAATACACCCTGTACAAGATTTGAACGCACGACCTTAGGATTGCCAGTGAGTCTCCTTATACTCTGAGCCATGTGGATACAGAGGACTCTTCTGGTTTTTTCCTATTTCACTGCCCTTTGTAGACACAAGGCTTTAAAATTCACCTCAACTTGGGTAAGGTGAGGCTTGAAACCACAACCTTAAGAGTGCCAGGCAGTCTCCTTATCCTCTGAGCCATGTGGACACAGCCCCACACTGGGCTTTTGATTGACATGGCCAATCAAAAGCCCAGTCCCACCTTCAGAACAGAGCTTCACAGTTTGTACCCAACAGTCATTGCCAAGGATCCAGAACTGATTATCAGTACTTTTAGGCTGGGTGAATAAAAAAATTGATGGTTGGAAAATTTAGCAGGAGTTATCTTGTTTGTGTTTTTACATTTTGGAGGAGCTGACAGATGAAGACAAGGCTTGGCATTATTTCAATGTGATTAGACCCAGAACATTGCTCACACCAACGAAATGCAGGTGCTTTAAAATTCATTCATCCTGAATAAGGTTTGAACCCATGACCTGAGGAGTCCCAGTCAATGTTCTTATCCTGTGAGCCATGTGGACACACAAGCCACATGGCCTACTATAAGGATATAGAGGTATAGGTTTGTCCACAAGGGGGTGCCAAACTCCAGACAGAGGCTTTAAATAAATTATTGCTAACTCAATTCTGGAGTAAAATCACTTTATCCCTTTAGTACATTCATAGTACTTCTCAGTTAATAATAATAATAATAATAATCATAATGAAGAAACCAAAAGCACAAATAATCCAAAAGATTAGGGAGTTAACATCAGCAGCTTTTTTCTTAAAATAAAAACAAACACAAGCTTCAACTTTCAATTGCAATTTATTTCAAGTGACACTAAAATGAAAATCTATGTTTAAAAAACTCATGAACAGGATCTAGCAGTAGTATGTAGCAGTAGCATGTAGTACCCGAGCGGGCAATTCGGACGCAGCACATGTGTTAGAGGCAGAAAAAGCGTAAACCAATGCTGTGTCCGAATTGCCCGCTCGGATACTACATGCTACTGCTACATACTACTGCTAGATCCTACTCCTATATACTAAACACGTTGGCCCAATTCGGACACACTAGATAAGCGGTGGGGAAAGACGGCCCCCGCAGGCAGAGAGTAGGTACTGCGCCCATGCAGACAGTGGTAACAGAAGCCCTTCATCTGCTGGCCTGGCTGTAGTACTGCAGCTGTGCAGTTTAATGTTGGAATAAGTGAGCTTTACCTCCATGATGTCGCCACATATTTGCTCATAAAATGATTACTTGGGCAAATATGACACCATGACATGACACAGCCTGACACCGAGACATTATGTGAGGAAAGAGCGACCTCTGGGAAACACTGGAGATAAAAAGAAAAATGGTAAAAAGAAAAACAAGAAAATAATATTAAATGAACAGATAAGTAAAAGCTCTTTACCGTATAAAAATGGTAAAAGAAGTAAAAACCTCTTTGACGGAAATTAAGAAAAAGACTAAGAACAGAGATTATTAATGAAATGACATAAAATAAACAATAAGAACTTTGATTAAAATGAACATTTGAATTAAGAGAAATATAAAAAGGTGATCGGTAAAAAGCCTGGTTAAAAAGGTGAGTCTTGAGCCTCTTCTTAAAAACATCAACGGTCTCTGAAACAAAACCAGAGGACCAAATAACCTGAATTTGTGAGGCCTTATATCATTATCTGGCGTAGAACCATTGGACTACTTCAGTTCTTTTGATTTACCACAAACAGTTTTGACTGCTGCAGATAGAGGACAGAAAATTCAACATACTTTGCTTCAAAACTAGGAATCTGAAATCTCTTATCAGACACATATTTGAGTCTGTAGGTCATTTCCTGTCCCTGATTACTCAGAAAACGGCGTCCCCTTACACAAAAGCAGACTGTCAGTCACCGCCGCCTGTGCTGCTGCCTCCGGCCACACACCTGTTGTCTGGGACAGCAGTATTAACACTCCTGGCTCTCTGCCTGCGCGATTTCCACCTCTCACCATGACATCTGATCCAGCGGTGACCGACAGCTGCACTGTGTTTCTGGCACTGCCAACGCCGGTCCCTGAATGCGTCATGGATATGCAGAGGAATCTGAGTGAACGAGAGAGTTTGTAGAAACTTTCCTGGCCTGAGAAAGACGAAAACACAAACTTAACTCACACATTAGACTAAGTAACAGCTGGTAGAAAGAGGAAGAAGCTGCAGATTCTGTTTTCAGCCTCATAAGTCATTCCTGAGGATAAAAAGAGTCGGGGATTTAATGGAAAAACGAAGATATGAGCTACACTTGCAGCTACCCTCCCCAGACGATATCAGTGATTTATTCCAGCCACAAAGCTCCTGTTAACACCCAGAAAAGTTGATGAGAAAAACAACTCGCTGCTACTTCTGCAAAGAAAATTGCTCAGTGAAGTAATGAGCGAGTGTGTGACAAAGGTGAACGCCCACCCTGCAGTGTGAGGCGGGCCAGTTGTCTTCTGCTGAGTGATTTCTCCTCTGCAGCATAAATAAATAATCGGCGGTTGAGTAAAGTTGGCAGCGCTCCAGCTCGGCTAAATTGAAAAAGTCGGAGTAATTTGGACTCCGATAAGAAAGTGATATCTTTGTTGCTGAGTTGCTACAAGGAGTTAGTGTGTTTCTCCATCGTGGAGCGGTGATTTACAACAGTCAGTAAAATATGTGGCTGTGCAGACTTTAAGTCCACTTTGCAGGACCATTACCAACAAGATGGAGCTCTTTGGACTCGTTGGAAAAGCTTTAAATTGGGTTGATGTAAACAGATTACATGAATGAAGCCGTAAGAGGATTTTTTTTCACTTTCTCTGTGAACATTTTCACACTCGAGAGCGACAGAGGTACTCAAAGTCTTTGTTATGGTGCTCCTAGACTTAAGGAGAAACTAGATTAATGCAGTCTGAGTATAAAAATATGAGGAATAATGAGGCTAAAAGAGGGAATTTAACCCTCACTTATAGATAAAAGTATTTAAATCATCACACAGAGCTTTTTTCAGAGGTTATAAGATCACTCAAGTCAGGAAACTGTCCCTCAAACTCTGAGCCCATACAGCAACCTCCACTACAGAGTCATGTCAGAGTCAAACAAGCGGCTGCTGGAAGAGAGTAGGTGAGTTGTGTTTATTCTCTTTGCTAAAGAAATGAGTCAAAGTTAAAAAGATGTTTGGTGTCTAGTACTATGTCTGTGACCCTATATGTCCTGTTGATGAAGTTAGGTGCTGTTCTGAGCATTATTTGTGGCTATAGAGTGGCGTTTTGGTTGAGGGCGTGTCTCTCTGTATTGCTATCCTGCGGTCGTTACTAAAGTTGGTAAAACAAGAGAAGCAAGCGGTCGGCAACATTCATCTCTGGAGGGGGTGTCTAACTCGGTGTTACAGTGTGTTTGACCCTAAATTGATTTTACGCCGGAATATCCCTTTAATATTTCGTCCTTTTCTGCATAAATTTCATGTTTTATGTTGTTTTAACATGTTTGGCTTTTTGCTCTCGCAGTCTCTCACAGAGTGATGACCCTCTATCCTTCTTCTGAGACTCCGCCTCTTTTTATTTCCAGTCATGTGACAAACCTGTTAACAGCTGTTCCTTCGGGTGTTTTTCTTTTTTGAAACATGTCGCCGTCATTAAAGCAAATTACCGTAAGTATTTTAAAATAATAAGTACCATGTTGTATTGTATAAAGTGTATATATGTGTATATTGTAAAACTGTAAACATATTGCATATTTTGATTCTCTTTATTTTAACTTATTTTATCTGTAATTTCTCTTCTCCTACTACTTTATTTGCACTGGAGGTCCTATATTAAAGTATTTCTGATTCTGAAGATAATCTCATTTTCCATCAAACTTTTCAGTTTCAACTTTTGATTTGTTGTCTCAGCACTTTTTTCTTTCAACGATTTGCATACCACGAAAAATCTGCTCGACATTTCGCAGTGGCCAAACTTTTCTGTAATTGGGGTTATACAAGTGCATTCCTTCAATTTACAGCTACATCCATTCAGTGAAGATCAGCCCTAAATCTGCAGCTCAGCGCCCATAAAACCAAACTGTACCCTTACTTTAAAGTCTTCGATTTACACCCGACTTTAAAGAGATAAAGACATGCAGGAGAGGATAAAAAACAGCAGAGTCCAAACAGTTCACATTTAATGCCCTGGGCTTTATTGTCTTATTTTAGTGAGAGTTCTGTCACATTTTTTTTTTTAGTCTTTTCAGCCTCCAGGTGGGACAAGTAAACCTCAAGGATATATCCTGCCATTGGACTGGGCATTCAGATTCAGACAAAGACGAGAGGCACTACTAAGTAATGCTGCCTTTGTGCCTAACTCTTCACAGAAGAGAGAACATTAAATTCCCCAAAGGAAGGCACCCAATACTTGTGGTTTTTGGCCTTGCAGCCGTCTGGAGATTCTTTTTTCAAAGAAACAAAATAAAGAAAATAAAGAAAAAAGGGGAAGAGAGGGGAGAAAAACTGCTGTTTTTGTCAGGACCCTCCCTCCGTCCCCTCTTTAGCATTTTTTTGTTATTAAAAACTGGAATGATGAAACACGTACAGCGATTACTGCCCATTCACCTCCCTTATCACCTATGCATGACCAAGTAACAAAGGAACCAAAGAATGAAGTCTTTCAATAAACCAAAAGCTTACAATCAAGTTTACCACAAGAACGAGAAAATTAAAAAATACAAAAATAACTGAATTTTGTCTTTTACAAAAATGTTGTTGGTGGGGTGAAACGAAGAGAAAAGGGGGAGACTCTGCTTGCATGAAAAATGAAGGACAACCCCTTTTTTAAAAACAAACGAAAAATACAAAAGCAGCATTGATACTTATCAAAACCATGAACGAAAAAAACAGAAACATCACAAAAAAATAGTGCTTTAATCAGAAGCAGCAGAGGCTTCTGGGAAGAGACTTCATCCCTGTTTTGTTACTTGTGTTTGGGATAATGTTAATGGAAGCTCCCAGGGAGAGAGGAGCACCTCTCTTTACGTGAACCACATCTTCATCACCCTCCTCCTCCTCCTCCTCCTGGCTCTCCTGGTCTGTATGTATGTCACCATTGATTTTCACATGATCCACAGAGAGAAGCACAGGGACCCAAAAGAAATGTGGGTGGGTGGGGGGGTGGGGGACCTGCTTTTGTGTTCACAATATACAAAAATACCCAGGAGTCCGTAGCTACCTAACATTTACTACAGCACAGGAACCAACGAAGGTACAGTGTACAAATAAAAAAATTAAACAAAACAAACCGAAAACAAAAAAACTGTAAACACAGCACAATAAATAGATAAAAACAGCAGGCTCCGCACCATGCACATGATGTGATAAAAACTCTTTGTCTATACAACTCCCACGTCTCTCACACTCGCCACAAGTTACTTGGCTATCTTTTTTTTCCTTTAAGTTTGACTCCCAAGTGCAAAACATCACAAATGGACAGTTCTGTATTCAAGTAATATATATACAAGGGGGGATATTACAAATATGTAGTTACTGTACAGATACTAATTTTGCCATATTCATAATTTACACATGTCGATCTTGTACTTTGAACAGTAACAAAAAAAAGCAGAAACAAAAATAAAGGTTTAAAAAGTATGAGAGATGAGAATTGCAAGCGAGCGGCTGCGGCGGCCTCCCGTTCGATCTGTCAGTCTGCGTCAGAGTCCCGCTGTCCCTTTTGCATTCCCGATGCTACGATGCACAGCACCTACAGAGCGGACTCCTCGCTGCACCGCTACTACGTCACCTCCATGGCCACTGTGTTGTCTGCTATACTGTTCAGTGCTGGCTTGTCTTCGTCATGATTATCCCTGCAGGAGAGAAGAAGAAGAAGAGAAACGTTAGGTGTTATTCTTGAGGCGCTCTGACGTCACGTGACTTCAGCTCCCAGATTTATGTGGATTCTTGCTCTGCAGCTTTATCTCTGGCAGACAGTGTTGGCAATCTTTCGATGATATCTGCCAGGTCCGAGTGAATTCTTAAACCGAGGATGGTGCGATGGTGCGAAGGCTTTTCTGTCGCTTATCTCCAAACAAACGTTACATCAAAGATAACAGGACCCGGTGAAAACAAGAGGGACGAACTTAAAGTTTCCTGCTGTCTGGGTTCGGACTCTTGTTTACGCTCTAGTTTGGAGTTTTAAATGTGGGTTGTGTTGTGTCTGGAGTTCAGGGGCACACAGAGGTAAACTACGGCTTATGTCTGAAGGCCCACACACACCTGTGGGGCGGCTTTAGTCTGACTGGTTTTTGTTTCGACTGTAAACGAATCGAACACCACGACTAAAGCAGTTTATTCTTCCTGCATCAGTCAGTGCGTTCACATGCAAAGCTGACCGTATTTTTCGCACTATAAGGCGCACTTTAAATCCTTTTGGCTTGTCGGAGCACTGCAGCTACCGTAGCCCGCCCCGCAGAGTTATTGAATGAGTTAAATAAAGTTTGACTTATCTGACTGTTTTGTTTATGCTTTATAATCCGGTGCGACTTATGTATGAAAATAGACGCGAATAGACCTGTTCATCGACAGAGCGCCTTATAGTGTGAAAAATACGGTAATCAGACTGAGCAAATAATTCGTTTTTGTCACTCAGGTCGCGTTCATCCGACCTATACGTCATCGATATGCGACAAACGTCACCGTTGTTCGACACAAACAGGCACGGAAAGAAATTTGTGCTTTGTGCGCATGTGGGTCACTTCACAGACGCATTCTGTTCACATTAGATGCTGCATTCGTTGTTGTAATGTGAACGACCGCACAAAAAGATCGGATTTAACAAAAAATCCGAAATGTGCATCATAACCTGCAGAGTGAACGTCGCCTTTGTCGTACATGATGGGCACGCTACTTTTCTGCAGACGAGACGAACGCTACTCCACTTCTCTGGTGTTTTTGTTATGGGGTTACAGGGGCATGCATTGTCCGATCATACTGCGACTACGCTGGTTACATGGTAGAGAAAATCGAATTCCCATCATATTATCTGGGTGTCTTAATCGGAGTTCTCAGACTCAGATTATAGTCGGACTAAGGTGTTTACATGCATTTAGTTGTCCGGTCTTAATTGGAATAAGGTGAAAATTCAGTTTTCCCGAGTTACATGTAAACGTACCGAGTAGGGCCCGACCGATTTATTGGCGGGCCGATTAGATCGGCCAGTTTCAGCCCGTTTGTGACTAATCGGTAATTGGCCAAAACTCGCCGATTTTCGCAGAAATTTTCAGAAATAAATATGATTCGGATTCACTTCGAAAATGTTCCGCCATTTGAAAAGTTCCCCGACTTATCCTGTAGATGGCGCAGCGACCTCATGGGGGGGGGGGGGGTAGTTGTAAACGCTTTTCTGGTCTGAGTTTGATCAGTCGGTCTTTCTATCAACGTGAAAAGCAGTAGCCTACAGTATATCTACAGTATATCTATATTTTTATAACTTCATAAATTTTGTTTAAAAATCAGCTGATTGATTGTGAATCAGATTTTTCCCCCCTTAATAATCAGAATCAGCCCAAAAAATACCACAGTACCGCCCTAGTACCGAGTATAAAATACCGTCGACACATACGATGAGTAGTTCACCTTGAGCCCAGGTCCATGGGCGACGCCCCGGAGACTTTGGGCATCTGCAGGTGGGGGGCGGCGGACAGCTTTAAGGCAGAGGGCGGCAGAGGGTTGCCCAGGGTCCGGGGAATGTGGCGCCCGGCCAGGCTGGCGGCCGACGGCACGCTCAGACAGATGTTGTTCCCGATGAGGACCTGAGTGGTGGCGGGGGAGGCGTTGGCCGGGCTGCATCCCAGGATCCCCAGAGCCGCCGCTGCGTGGGCGCTGGGGGTGGAGGTGAGGGAGGTGGGGACGGTGTTGGCGGGCGAAGGTGTGGTGGAGATGGAGGTGGGCTGGAGGAAAGTCTGGGCCACGGAGGAGGCGGTGGTGTTCGTCGCCTGGTTGGTTTGGTGGAGAGCGGCGGTGGTGTTGGAGAGGTGCAGGCCTTTGAAAACACCTGAGGAGAAACCGATCAGAGACCAGGATCAATAAAGACCAGAACAAGTGGACTAGTGAGACCAGGTTTGAGACTTTCGGACGCTGTTAGAAATGTTGATAAATCAGAATTTGGCGTTTCAAAATAATTAAACGCCAAGAATCAAAATCTAACTCTCTTTGGAAAGGACAACTGGACTTACTTGTGACGTTTCGCGTCACAAGTAAGTCCAGTGGTCCTTTCAATGAAGAGCTGGAAATCATAGATGCTGCATCCTCAGTTTTAAACAATATCTGCAGGTTTAGGAGCAACATCTACGTCCATCCAGACAAAGACTTTTTCAGGGACGACCTTCATATGATCGCTCTGATCAAACACCTGTTTTTGTGGCTGGATTGTAAACCTTGTGAGAGGTGTGGAAATGTCTGGAAACCCTCGGTAGATCGCCAAAAGTTTAAGCTTTTGAACGCTTTTTATCCCGTAGAGCAGGGGTGTCAAAGTCAAATGGACGGAGGGCCAAATAAAAAATTTAGGTACAAGCCGAGGGCCGGACTGATAGAATGTTCATTGAAAATTTTTTAAATGACGCATATAGTCTAGTGAACCTAACTGAACCTACTGAAAACCTAACAAATATATTCCAATATGATCAGATAAATAAAGCAATATTTTCTTATGGCTCTGTCAGTAATCTTTAATTTTCAACAGACACAAAAGACAAATTTCCTTTATATAAAAATCCCCATAACATGAACATTAAATGAAAGAAACCGGTATTATTCAAGGCACCATCAGTAGCCTATATTTTCTATTTTAGCAAAAGTGGGCTAAATTTACTTCAAAGAAAAAAAAAATAATAGCAATTTTCTATCATCCACTCAACTGAAATATTTTTAAAATATAATTGGATTGAAATACAATAAAAACGTGTTTCGTTTCATAATGTCGTCTCAGATTATACTCTTTCAGTACCGCCACACTTTCTCCACACAGAAGACACACAGGTTTTCCAGCTACCTCCGTGAACATATACTCCGACTCCCACTTTGTTTGAAACCCCCGGTTCTCAGTGTCCACCTTCCGTTTTGCCATTTTTGATGGGTATCTGAAAGTTAATTTTACTGTTATGCTGACGACTGCTGTGCTAATAAATATTGAAATGAAGCAGCCTACTGCTCGGTGCGTCACCGTTGCATTGTGGGAAATGTAGTATTGGTGCGTCTAAAAGATCTGCGGGCTGCCGGCTTGCTGCGGTCTGCGGGCCGGTTCTAATAATAAATCAAGATCATCCCAGGGGCCGTAAAAAACCTTCTCGCGGGCCGGATGTGGCCCGCGGGCCTTGACTCTGACATATGTGCCGTAGAGATACATGATATAGTTCCCTATATTTATGGTGTCACGTGGGATCGCCGAGCGGAGTTGGAGTGACCCTTACCTGCCCCCGTCAGGACCCCGTTGACTCCGCTCGCCAGCACCAGCTCCTCTTTGGACTTGAAGGTCAGCAGCTGGTCTGTGGTGACGAGAGCCGAAGCAGCAAACTGGGCGCTGGCCTGGTCCAGAGTCTTGGACCCCAGGGTCTGGTTACGATAAGAGAGAAAGAGAGAGACTGAGTTAAAGAGCGCTTTGTGAAAATGTGCTGAGCTCTGCACGTCTGCTGCCAAACAGGATCAGGGTTGTTGGTGTTAATTCTGCTCATGGGAACGAAGCTGTGTCCCGTTTCCTGAAGATGAGTGAGCGGACCTTCACTCTGAGGTTAGACCAGGTTATGACGCCCTCATTTACCCTCTTTGGTTATCAATCGATCAATTACAGCAAAAAGAAGAAGAAACTGATCATGAACAGAAGAAGAGGGACTAGAGCGCTCTTTGACATCTGTACTCACTGACACAGACGTGCTTTTATTAGGAGCAGAGGTGTGGTGAAGGCTGCAGGATGATGATGATGTTGTGTGTCTCTCCTCTCTGACCTGTGTGTTGGGAGTTGTTGTTGCAGAGTTGTTGGCTTGTTGCTGTTGTTGTTGCTGCTGCTGCTGTTGGCTCTGTTCCAGCTGCTGTTTCTGCATGAGGGCCAGCTGCTCCTGGTGCTGCTGGTACTGCTCTGCCGTGAACACTGCGGACAGGAGGGAGGAAGAGGAGGCTCCGGTCAAAAGAGGAAAAATGGTTTCTGTGAGGTTTGTTTACGTGACATTTAGACCTTTTCTTTACAGCGAGACGAACGAGGATTAAAAACTTTAAACATGCCTGACTGATCTAAGAAAAATAACCGAACAGTAACTCAGACTTCCATCCTTCAGGTCGCCACTTTCATCATCACATTTCAATCTTGCAGCGGTAAACTGGCGAGAGTTTTACCCCAAATTTTCACTCGGAACAGCAGCAATTTTCACCGTCTGTTAATTCCTACCAGATCTGTTTGTGGGGCGAATTTCGTGTCGGATTACGGACAGCGGAAATCACAAGAACCCGCAGATTCACGTGCAATCAGTGATAACGAGTTGTCTCTATAAATACAGACACATAGATATATAAACAGTAGATTGTGTCCTTTCAGAGGAGGAAATCTACTTCTAGACTTCTAGAATCAGCATCTCCTCATCCATGGTGTCATCGAGGTGAAATGACGTCTAAAAACCTTTCACTTGTTCATTTCCAACCGTTACACGGAGTGTTTTATTTTGAAAAGAAGCCGGATGTTTCATTTTGTGTCTGTGCCTGACTTCCTTTCCAGCACGGGTTAGCACAACTTTTCAACCCAGGTTTTAGTGATTCTGGGGGGAGAAAGCATGTGAAATTATCTAAAAACTACAAACAAATAAACAGATAAAATAACTGAACACCCTTCTTGAAGTTAGATTTGATAAATTCATCAGATCTAGTCCACATCTGTGAGCTCAAACTCTTGTTTTGTGCAGATATTCATCCTCTTCGCACTCTATGCCTGACTCCATGTTGCTAGTGGACACAGGCCCTAACAGCGCCACCCCTCACCGCCATAAAACAATCAAACTCAAATCAAACTTGAGGACCGTTCAGTCAAATCCAAACCGCTCAAGTTACTGACATCAGCCGCTTTCCTCTGTGGGCTTTAAAACAGCAGAACAACAACGACACCGGGGTCGAGTGGAAGTGGGCGTCGTTATTACGTGATTCAAGGTTACTGCGATACAATGAAAGCTCAAAAGATCGTCAAACACACACACACACACACACACACACACACACACACACACACACACACACAGGTTTATACAATCCTCAGGTGTGGTTACGCAGCTCTCATTCAGCTGACACAAAGCTGAAGGTAACAGTGAAAGACTTTGCACTCATGGTGGGCGCTACAGAGTTTCCAACGAGTCAAAGTCTGTCGCTACGATGATACAGGAAAAAGAAAAGCAACTGTACAAATAATAAAAAAACAAAACATGACAAAACCTGTAAAATCAGAAAGAGAGAGGGAATTAAGAGTGTGATTATTATTCTGCCAATCTGAGGTGGAAAACAAATAAAAACTGTTTGGATCGAGGTGCAAAAAGACACTGACTCCTGAGAAACTTTAGTCACAGTAAAACAGATGATGCTGAGGAGTAGGGCTGGGAGATATGGCCTCAAATCAATATCACAATATATTGATATATATATATATATTGATATATCTGTTCACCTCAATAATGATAAATGGACGATAACTACTCCACAAGCTGCTCAATCGCCCAGCTTCACTGAACGTCTACGCCTCTTTGTGCCAATTACCTGAATTTACTTGTTAGAAGACATCATACTGGGACCATGAACAGCTTTACAAATAGGGTGCCAATCCCCCGAAAGATCACGTTGGTTATTGTCGTCAATTTTGGTATCTGTAAATTTCTGGTTTATCGTCCAGCCCTATGAAGAGGTCAACAAGAGTCAAATCCAAGACCCTGAAGCCTGAAGGTCTGAGTATGTTAGAAGTTTACTTTTCTGTAATTCTACGACTGAATTAAAAACTGAACAAACACCGAGCGGCAAAGTTTGAGTTTTCTGTGTGTGAGTGACTGAAGGACCTGATTATTAACTACATCAGGAAACTATTAATGATGACTAAACTTATTTTAACCTCCTCAACCAGGATATGAAGTGTTTATTTTGTTTCTTCATCCCTCTTTGCCAGACTGCAGCTCAAGTCAAACTTCAGCTCTGATGATGACAAATGTGTGTTTAATACCTGTGATCTCATTATTGACTCAGACTGTGTCGAACATGATTTTAGGAGAACTAAAATCAGCTGTTACTCCAAAGACCGACTAAAGAAGAGTATTTACAGTCCGGATAAATGACTTCCTCTAAAATAACACCCAAACAAAGCAGCGCCCTCTCACGACTCCATGCTGTGGGAAAACTCCACGACAAATTATAGTTATTTGACTTTAATTACACAGAGGCAGCCCTCAGGTGGAAACATCACTTCTCCAAATATAGGGATCGATCAGCAGGACAAATAAACACCCAAACAAAGCTACTATAGACGATTTTAGCGGCTTTAAAACAGAAACATGACAAAGAAACCAGCCAGACAGCATGATACAAAGGAAGATATTACTAAACTATTAAACTCTGGAAGTTTGCTCAACATCTCACTTCTTTCCTGATCTTCTCCAGCCCGTCTCCTGGATCTATTTTTACATTTCCACATCTAAATGACTCTGGGAGAAGATATTAATGTTTTGAATATATAGAGAGGGTTGAAGGAGGAAGTTTACGTCATTTACGAGCATCATGGGAGCGTTTTACCTTTGAGCAGCAGCAGCAGAGAGCGAACACAGGGCAGCCTTTCAAGTCTTTCTTTGAATATTCACATGCAAGAAATCAATTAACAATAACTGACGTAATTTTATGCATGAAGACGTTTTTAAATTACAGCCCTCAAAGACGAGTTCTTCTACTGTACAGAGAGGAGATGAGAGGATCCTCTGACGGTCCGAGCAGCCTGTCAAACAGTCTGAACACTTAAAGACTGTTATTGTTTATCTATAAGGCCTCTGTTAATGTTGACAACATGACCCCTCAGATGGCAGCCGGAGCTTCAGGTCTCACATGTTAATATAAAATATCAGTAAAAATCGCTCTAATGAAGCGGTGAAGGGTAAAAACAGGCCTTCAGATGTTGTTTATCAGATTAGAGGATCATGTTTTTAGGCAGAGACCTCCACATGTCACAGTAATTATGATTTTAACAACCTTAAATGTTTACTTGAAATTACTGCTCCAAAAACTGATCCTGGACCAGATCCCAATCATTTAAAAATCAATATAATCCCTTTTTCACGCTCATGTTCTGCTCCCACTCTTGAAAAACATGGGTGTGAGTTTTTTGATTAAACCTGAATATAACCACTCAACTAAAGACAGGTATAAGCAGCACAGGTGTGTGGACGTTCACCTGCAGGGCTCTGCTGATGTTAGCCACACTCAGACACTCTGTGATCATGTGTGAATGTTTTCTTTCGGCTCGTCAGGCGCTCATCTGAATGGAATTTAAACGACCGGGAAATTAGCGGCTGGAACATTTGAGGGGAGAAGCAGACAGATTAATCACTCGGCCGATTAATCAAACTGATTAATGCTGTTTGAAAATAATCGGCTACGGCTTTGGCTCATGGTGGAGAGGTCGTGGAGAGGTGAGGTTTGGGCTCTACATCTTCCCTTCATCGATGTTTGCCTAATTTCCTCAGACGCCGTCGTCTTAGGGCTGGGCGATACGGCCTCAAATCAACATCACGGCATAGTCAGAAGCGATAAATTGATGATAACTACTCCACAAGCTGCTCACCCCCTCCCACATTAACTTCGTCTACTTCAGCCGCTACAACTTTCTCTCCGTCCTCCATCTCCTCACCTGTCTTTCCCTCTTTGTTACATACTGGATGGGGTGGAGTCACGTCTCTGACGTAGGACAAAGGGACATGAGACCATAGCCTACCTACACACATCCAAAACCAACTCATATATGTTTTTTGACACTTTATATACCGATAAGGGCAAAATGACGTCGGTTATAGTTTTAAATTTCAGTAAATTTTCGGTTTATCGCTCAGCCCTACATCGTCTGTTTCTTCATATCACTGTTACACCATATCAAATCTATAACAGTTAACTGGATCTTTCTTCATACTAATATCATAATAAAATATACTAATATAAATATCAGTCATGTAGTGACATCTATAACATAACTCAGTGTATTTTTCTATTTCATGAATCATTCAAACCGCCATCTTAACACTTAGACGCCCTTCTTTTTTTGTCTCAATACATCAATATTTACCTTGAAATTTTAATGTTTACATACAGCTGGCCATAAATCAACAAGTTTTTATGTTGTTGTATTTCATTAGTATTTGCTGTGGAATAAAACAGCATTGGTGAAAAAAAGACCTACTTTCCAGAATTCCCCAGCATTCCCCCACCTCAACTCTCGCAGCAATAACAAACACATACTGTGTGCCACAAGCATCCTTTAAAATCATGACAAAACCAGACCCATCGACAAGTTTCAAACTAATGATATCTGACTGAATGTCTTCAGAAACAAAAGGTTCACACACGTCTACAAAGATATGATCTTTATCCGAACAGCAGCAGCTCCAAAATGAAGTCAAAGTGCTGAATTTTCCTTTTGCTTTAATTAAAGCCCAAACTACACACAGGCCGGTCAGACCGCGCTAAATTAACTTTCAGGCGTTACCACCGTCCACACCGAGCTCCGGGCTGACAGACTATCAAAACTAAAATAAACTTGCCCCCTTTGCAAATCCAGGAAACCTTTGCTTACAACACAATTAGGCAGCAGACCTGACCGGGCTCCACTTTAAGCCAATGACATTATTTAGAGGTGGAGCGCTCGTTAGACGCAAAATGTCAAAGACGTTAATGAAAACACGGAGCGGCGAAGGAAATGACTCACCATTAACGGGGTTGGGGGCTGGACCGGTGCGGTTCTGGGAGCTGGCTCCTCCAGACAAGGTCCGGTTAAGTCCTGACACGGTCCGGCTAAAATCCCTAAATCCTCTGCGAGACAAGTCTCCTGCACCCAAGGGGTGATGGGATAGCGTCCGTGGTCTGAAGTGCCTCCAGCGGCACGCTTTAATGTTCAATAGAATCTGGCTGAGGTCCATGGGTGTTGATGATGATGATGATGATGACGACGTCAGGGGTGATGTAGAAGACGGAGGGTGGGAGGAGCTGGCTGGGTCCGAGGTATTGGTTTCTGAGGTACTGGCGTTGGAGTTGCGGAGCGGAGAAGTTGGAAGTGGCGAGGAGAGTGGTTCGGGCTCCGGGTCAGAATCCAGGCTCTGACAGATGCTGTCTAAATCTGCGTGCGCTCTGTCCAATAAGCTCCTGCAACAAAAACAAAACCATTTCAATAAATCCTCCGTCGTCAGCGAGTCATTTCAGGTCAGACAGAATCACACACACATGCTGCAATCATTAGCAGGACGTTACAACATCAACGTTTTCTCCTGGAGACCCGAGGATTGCTCAAGTCCTCTGCATACCGCTCATGTAATTACAGCGTCCACCGGGCCAGTACCAATTATAGCCGAGGACAAAAACACAAAAACAGGCCAAAGACAGAAAGACAGAAAGGAGGCGCACTTATGTAACGGAGGAAAACACAAACTTTAGAGCAGTAATGTTGGTTAAATCCAGAGAAAAAGACTTCATAGATGTTCTAAGACCTTTATTTTTAGACTCACAATCAACTGATAATTACTGCTGCTGCAATACAGCGGGGCGTGTAATGACGTCAACGCTCTTTTTTCAGCGAATGGTAAGACACTGGTTCATTTTAGGGGGCGGTAGGGGGTTCTTTTTGCTGATTCTTCCTGACACACGTGAAGGAAAACGAAGAAGAAGCAGGAGGAGCAGGTCCGAAACTAAACTCAAAAGCTTCTGCTTCATCAAAAACATTCGACAGTTAAACCTTAAAACTGTCCTTTTATCATTTCTCCTTTAGACCAGTAACTTAGAACCAACCAAAAGTGGGATGTTCTTCATTTCAAAATAAAAGCACGGCTCTACAAGACAGGACCAGACCAGCTGAGGCTGAGTCAAAGTTGGACTATGACTGTTAACAAAATCCTGAACTTGTTTTTTCCACACACCGTATTTTTCGCACTTTAAAGTGCACCTGGTTATAAGGCGCACCATCAATGAACGCGTCTATTTTCATACATAAGGTGCACCGGGTTATAAGGCGCATTAAGCCAAACAAAACAGTCAGATAAGTCAAACTTTATTTAACTCATTCTATAACTCCGCGAGACTACGGTAGCTGCAGCGCTCTTCTGTTAAACCTTCTGTTTACTAACTTCATGTTTTGTTTCGGAGAACAGAATTTGACTAAACTACCACCATCAGTTTGGAACGACTGCTTCTTCATGTTTGTATGATTATTATCCTGATCCATTTACTCCTAAAGAAAACTAAAAAGCGTCTGATCACATCCTTTCTCTCAGTACTTTTTGTTTCCTTTAAATCCCTGATATTCACATTTATGTTTCTGTTACCACTGATGAAATAAAACTCTATCAGACAGGCTTCAGTTCATGAAAGGAAGTCGAATCCCTCACAAACGTCTGTAAAAGATTTCATCAGGATCCTCTTAGACTGACTCAAGTCCAAGAAAAACAACCGGACTGACCAACACTGCCGTCCCCGCAGACAAACCCGAGTCTGTCCAAACAATCAGACTAAGCTCCGTGTTTTCTGACTTGATCAAGTTTTACTATCACAAGCACAAATCATATTGAAGAGGACAGATAGTCCGGTCTGTCGGCTCCCCTCAGGACAGGCGATAAGGTCGAGCGCAGACAGAGACAGAACACCGCCAATCTCATCATGTGGACCTGAGAGGCAGATACAGTCGAAACCGGTTGGTGGTCGCTGTCGGCGAACTCCTCCAGCTAGTGTTCGTTATTCAATCATCAGTGTAATGACTGAGAGGATATCAGACAAATCTGCAGGACACGATTCTGTTCAAGTTTTCAGAGGCAGCAGGTGAATCCCAAAATGTGTGTGTGTGTGTCGTGTTCGTCATTTTAGCAGCCAGCTTGATATTTATAATGGAATATGCCCGCCAAACGATCGCTGGTGACCTGCCAAAACGCCGGTATGGTAAACAGCCTCGGCGGCTACAGCCAACCCTTGGCTGGGTTTCACCTGCTCAGTATTTGAACTGGCAGCATTCCTACACACATTTCATTTCACATTTCGACATTTATTCGGAGTCTGTTTGCTGAAATGATGAAAGCGTGCAGCACCTGGATATCACACTGATCAAACACTTTTCCCTTTTTACTCCACAAATGTCTCGAAAACTGCAGATCTGAAATCATTGATGCCTCAGGAAGGACTGATTTAATCGGTTTTGTCCGGCTCTGGTCATCTTTCCTCTCTTTATGTGAATGTGGAGCTTAAATTTGTGTGTACATGATTATTTTAGAGAGAAAATAAATCCTTAAGTTCGCGGATAAACAGAGAGATAAATGGGGAGAATCCATCTCAAACTCACCTGCCCCCTCTGCCCACGCGGCGTCGTGCAAGGCCTATGCAGCGCCGCGGCACATTCAGCGAGGTCAGACAGTAGCGGAAACGCAGGTCGCCGAGCCCGCCCTCCAACGGGCTCACCCAGGGCCAGCTACTGCTCTGATCGGGTCGAGGCTGAAGGACAAAAGAAGGGGAACACAGGGAAACAGAGAGGTGAGTGTTTTTGTTATCTCATTGTTTCGTCCAGCAGAGTGTGGTAGACCAGCAGCCAGCGCACGCAGGCGGGCAGACTGACCAGCCTGCTGATGGCTCTATAAATAGAAGCATTTGGAGTCAGAGGAGGGCACTCACAGCGTAGTACTGACAGCCGGCCTTCCTCCTGAACGCGAAGCAGCCATCTGGGTCATTCTCCTCCTCTGCCTCCGAGGAACCTGAATGGATCTAAACAAAGAAAACACGTCAGTACACGAACACTGCGGGGCTGAAACTAAACCTGCTTTTACACCTTAAATCCACAAAATTACCTGTGAGAAGGGTTCTTCATCCGAGCTGGGGAAGTCGTACTGGTTGAGGTCCTTGGGATTGAACACTGAGGGTCCTGAATGTTGGGTCGCCGACAGAGGAGGGATCTTGGGTTTCTTCTCGTATTTCCTTTTGGTTCGCACCGCCTCTGTCTTCTCCGGCTGTGAGGAGGGGAAGGGGACACGTTGTTTACTGTTTACGCTACAGTCTGCTTGATCCAAAAGATCCAAAGCATTACTCTTGTGATGGCGGTCTCGTGTTTGTAGCGGGCGCACAGGCGTAGAGAGTGTGTGTAGAAACAACAGTGAGTAAAAGAGGCATTGATATGCAGATGGCAGCATGTGCCAGATGCCACTGCCTTGCCAGATGGCAGCCGCCCTCCTCCCTCCTCCTCTTCCTCAATCCGCCCTGTGCCACCATTCACCCAGACTTCCCCAGTGGGACGACCCCTCCCTGTCTGAACAGACTCCAACTCCACTAGGATTAGTCAGACCCCATTCAAGAGGAGGGAGGGGGGGGCAAAACAAACAGAAAGGCAGGGACTCTGCGGTGAAGAACTGCTGTGTCAAATCAATGGAAGGAGGACGAGGAGGGGACCGAGGAGTCCGACCAAAAACTGAGTGTGTGTGTGTGTGTAAACAAAAGGGAAAAGTCAACCAGCTGGGAGAAGGAGAGAAAGGAGGAAATGATCGGGGGAGGGGAGGGGGGCTGTTGGACACTGGAGCTAATGAAGTTATAATGAGAAGAGGTGACGCAGAGTTCACAGGAGTGCTGGGTAATGGAGTGCGACATTATAGAAGCATATGGCGACTCAGCTTCACATTAAAACGCACTAAAGGTTGAAAGACTCGGCATATAAACAACCTCCACAACATCACACTGACTGTACGGACGCAGGGATTGGCTGAGGGCTTCCTACAGGTCAGGTGATCGTCACTCCTCTCTCACCCTTTAGATGCACATTTACTGCAGACAGTCTCGACCAAAATCACCACCATCCAAACACATTTCTAAAGTCTGCTCTGGTTATTCACTCTTTTACAGGGTTTCTAATCTCTGACAGAGCTACTACAGGTCTCCTTATTTTCAAAACAATCCAGCTCTGAGAAAAAATGAGTTTAATTCTGCAGACTATGACACCAGGACTGGATTAGTCAGAGGGATCAGGACTGTTTTTTACTCAGGATTGTGTTTCCAGACAGATATGAAAAATACGCTGTGAAGTATTTCCTGTTTTTAAAGGATTGTAAAAAATTGAACATCTTTCTGCTACAAGTGTGATAGTAAAAGCTGATTTCTCATCAAAGAGCTGTTACAAATTCCCACTATGGAAATGATTATTAATAATTCACACCTTGGTGTTATTTCAAAAATGAGAAAGCTGAGCTCTGTGCTAGTTTGATGTGAAGTACAGTCCTCGTATCCACTCAAGAACAGAAAGAGTCGACTCGTCCTGATCCTTGTTCTGTTCAGACGCCCACACCAAAGGATGGAAACTATTTTTACTCTGTTTCCTGACATTATCGCTGAGGACGTCAGAGTATACACTTACTTTCTTGTAGTCCTTCATATCCGAGTGGTCCTGGTGTCTGTACTGGTTGCTGCTGGACAAGGGGATGAGTGGGATGGTGTAGACGGGCTTCACCAGAGCTCGCTGAGCAAGAGCCTCCGCCATCACCTCGCTGCCGAAGTCTGGCATCAAGTTCCTGAAAGACACGAATGGAAGAGTCCAGAGCTGGTGAGCATGCTCAGAAGGTTCACAGCAGGTACATAATTCACCTCAACTATCTACAGTGAGGTTAGCTTTAATAGTTTTCATTTCTGCCTTTTTAGACACCAAAATTTGTGTACACTTTAAAACCAGCAGATGGTCGAATAAAAGCTTTAACATGATGCACAAAACATTCTCGTGCGATGACGGCTTATGCACCAAAAAAAAGCTTCAACATCGTACTGGGCGATTTGGCAAAAAATGATCATGTAGTGTTTTGTCATATCGTCTGATCTCGATTATTATCACGATTTTCTAAACTGCCAATTTTAAAGCATCTGTACTAAAAACTGAAGAAACTAGAGATCAGTTCAACATTTTATTAACATATTAAGTAAATAAAAAAGCAAATTAAATAAGATAAACTTAGAAAAATATAAAAAAGAAACATTTTAACTCAACAGAACAACAAATGTGAATAAATACTAAATAATACAGTGACCTACTCAACAGTCCTGAGTATTTTTACAGTTATGTAAGACCCAAAATAAAGAAATCGCCCCCTCAGAGATAATGATGACGCCTTAAATGTAAACATTAGATGATTTAAATGTAGATGATACGATTGATTACTTTGGTCTGGTGGCTGCACCGCTAATTGTGGCTAAGCTGCTAATGCTACTTGTGCCGTCGGCAGTGACAGGCTGTACAGACTCCGCCCACATTTTCATGCTTTCTGCATAATCACTCAGGAAGAACTTCTTCAAATGATTACCATATATTTTAAGACGCACTATCAATACCATGTTTAATTGAGTAAATATGCTCACAGCTGATCACCGTGATCGAACTGAAATTCATCACAATCATATAATCGCCCAGTCCTACTTCAACATGTGACTGCACGTGTCAGCAAACACATTAGTGCACGTCTATATTTATCATTAATATATAAACCATATAGAGGAAAATCAACTCTTATTTATCTTGTTTAAATTCAGCACTACGCCTGCAAACTAATGCAAAAGTCTCCATATGGTACAGCTGTGGCCTAAAGACAAAAATAAACACATAAATAACTTAACTCTGCTCCCTGTAACACACAGCTGTCAGGACTACACACACACAAATCCTGCAGTACACCTGGGTCACTCTTCCCCAACATAATATCATGAAGTGGGCCGGGAAGCTATCAGCCGAGAACAGAGCGGTCCAATCTGGGAGGAAACACCGGCTTTGATGTGCAGGCAGAAAGCAGGCCGGGATAACAAGAGGAAATTGAAATGTCACTACAAATCAAAAGCACTTCAAGAAGAAGGGTCCAATTTAAGCTCACACTGACAGCTACTTTCAGAACAAATTCATTTCACTCGGATGTCATGTTTGGATGGATCGCAGAGGCTGGGGGGAGAAAAAGAGGAGCGCCAAAAAAGAGATAAAATAATACAAACACTGAGACTTGTGTGCTGCTTCTTCTTCTTCACAGACGGGTAGTACAGAGAAGTCAATGAGCTAATTTGCTCCTGACACCACTGAATAAACAGGGTGAACTCTTAATTGATAATGCATGCAAAACAGTGTACACAGCCATGCCCCCAATTAACACGAGCAGCCGAGCCTGACTTTACAGAAAATCTGCGGTTGACTCTTTTATACCATCAATCCTGCAGACAAGTGTCCTAATGGCCTCAGCCTGGGATTTCAACTTGACGAGAATACAAAAGCCTAATCAAACATGTGGGTTAACCGCGAGAGCCATCCAAACACTTCACAGAGTAAAAAAGGTCTGACACCCGATCCTTCTCAACTTTCACCGCTTCACAATTAGGCTTTATAGAGCCGATTCCCAAAACACACCAAAAATAGATCCTTTCATGGACGTCTTCGCTCCTCTGACAAGTGAAGCGTGCTCATATCAATCCTTTGCATCATGAATCCCAGGAATAAAAGCCTCCTAATAGCGGCTTCTTCCCTAACAAGGTTGTTGATGCAGTGCAGCGGGCGACTAACAGCCGTTTCGAAACTCTCTCAGGACCAATTTCTTACCTCTTCTCCACTATTTCCAGTGTGAGGTGCAGCAGTTCCCTCTTGCTTTTTTCCCTCCTCTTGATCATCTCCAGGATGGTGACAGCTCGGCTCAGGTCCCTGCGCAGCTTCAGCATCTTCTCGTACGACGCCTCGTCATTCTTTCGGTTCTGAAAAATGGAGAAGATGATTCAGACGTGGAGCAACAATCAGTTTTCTGTATGAAGGAAGTTTGACTGGAGTTTTTAGTTGGTAATTAAACTTTAGTTGAAGGGTGATAATAAAGCACATCTTCTCCTCACCTTCCTGGTCTGCATCTTCTCTGTCCGTCGCCGGAAGGCCACATAGGGGTCGCTGGTGCTGGATCCATCCCTCTTCTCCTGCTTCACGTTGGGGATGAGGGAGCCGCCCTTGCATGTTTTCCTCTTGCGGCTCCAGTAGTCAAACACCTCCTTGATCAACTCGTCGTCCTCTTTCAGCAGCAGTTTGGCTTCCTGGAGACTGACGAGCTGAAAACCACAAAGGGGAGGCAGATTCGTGTCAGAGGGAATTAAAAACACAGCAGCAAACAGACAAACCTGAGCTAGCTCGAGTCATTTTAAATAGCCTAACACAGGGTCAAAATGTTCTTAAGCCGTTACAACCTTCAGATAGCCGTCCATGCTTTAATCAGTTCAAAATTAGACGACTGTAAATGTTGGCATCTCCCAATCATCTCTTCCTCGCCTTCAACTTGTCCGTCTTTTAACCAGCACTAACAGATGTGAGCACATCACTCCTGTCCTCCGCTCCCTTCATCGGCTTCCCGTCTCTTTCAGGATTGATTTCAAACTCTTGTTTTTAAAGCTCTTAACGGACTCGCCTCCATCTATTTAACTGAGCTTTTAACCGTTCGGGAGCCGGGTAGAGCTCTGAGGTCATCAAATCAACTTCTGCTGGAGGTGTCCGGGTCAAAACACAAACACCGGGGTGACCGAGCCTTTTCAGTCGCTGGTCCCAGACTCTGGAATAAACTCCCAACCGAAATGAGACTTATTTTTGACCCGGACCTTTTCAAATCCTGATTGAGAACGTACTTATTTATGCTGGCTTTTAGTCAGTAACGTGGTGACACTATATTTTATTGTATTGTATTTTATTCCTTTAAATTGTTTTTATTTCTTTATTTTTATTTTCTATGTATTGTAAAGCTGTAAAGGGTTCTTGTAAAGGGCTGTATTGTAATTGAAGTGCCTAAAACACCTAAAGGAGGATCTGGCGTGTGTTACTAAAACAGAGGGACAATGTGAGCAGGGAGAAAACGGCAACAGTTTTCAGTTTTCCGTTTTAACGCTTCATATCTGTAACAGTTTAGTTATTAAATCTATGCAACTGTCTAAGTTTTCAACTCTATAATCGTCAAAAATGAGCCGCGGCTCAGAGGAGTGAGGCTCAGGGTTTAGATTGGTTTCACGCCCCCTGTACAGAGACTGTAGTCCTTGTAACAGGCGGTGTTTGACTTCCTGTTTTCGGCTGAAGCTCAAAATCCAAGCCCTGATAATAAGTGAGATGTAGGATTTATAAAATACACAACAAAAAGGAAAAGAGTCCCTTCAATCGACAACACAACTGTGCGGCCCTGCCTCACTGTGACAGTCGTGTTGCCTCCAGGCTGAATCGTGCGTTTCTATAACTGCTTAAGAAGAGTAAACACTAAGCCGATGACCAACTCCTTGAATGACTAAATTACACCCAAGAACCAGGATGTTATTCACAGCCGAGGAAAGTACAGTCTGACTCAGTGGGCTTATTTATCTTGTGTTACGCAAAGCCAGGAGTGTGTTTGTGCAAATTCCCTTCAAACCTGTCGTTTTCCTCCTGCACAGAGTGGTGACAAATACCTGCTGTCCGCTGCCTTTCTCCAGTCGGTCTATCATTTCTTCAAACTGCAGGGCTGTGATTTCCATTTTCTTCTTCAGCTTATTCACAAACGTCTCGTCCTCTGAATCTAGGTCGTAGTCTGGCTGCTCCGTGTCCAAACTGAAAGCTGTGAGAGAGAAAAGCGTTCGTTAATAAAGAGGCGGGCGGCGTGTCGGAGGCTTTATGAGAGGGAGAGGACGGTCTGAGGAGGGCATGTGGTGACTAATAACGCAGAGTCATTTCAGGCACAGTCCATAAACACAAGCCATGGGGTATGAAACGCAAATGTGTTTATCAGCATCAGACGACTTCTGCCAAACACTCTTCCACATTAAACAAACCATCTTATCATGACAAAGCAGCGCGCTCCTGTTTACTTCTTTCAGTGACGCAGGGCTCCAGGATAAACACAACTATCCGAGCCGGAAACTAAACCAGCCGCTCACTCACTCACTCACTCATTAATGCCGCCCGAGGCTTCGAGTTTTTCTGGCCGTACCAGCCATTCTGGCCAAACTCTGCAGCCGTGGCCTGGAGATCCTCCAGACAATTACAGATCAGTCTGGTAAAAATGGGGAAATGGTTGTCAGTTGTAATCCATCAGTTAGAGAATGAAAAAAAAAGAAGGAAGTGTTTACTTCACTGTCACTGCGAGGGTGTCAGATAATTAACACATGAACTCGTCACAACCTGCAGCGGCGTTTGGAGAGGTAGAGAGAGCACACTCACTAACTCCCATGTAAACGGATCATCAAAACAAGGTGGAAACATCTGACGCAGGACTCCCTTTAACTCAGACGAGGAAACATCTGAACGAAGTTTGTCCTCACTGAGAAATAATTCTGGATTATAACTTTAATCCTGTTCGTCTCCAATCCTCACCAAATCATACAGACAGTTTCTTGGCGGGTTTAACTGCAGATCTACACTTCTCTCTTTTATTATAAATCTATACACCACAGCCGTCCAAAGATGACCTTCCCTCACTTTGTGCTTTTGCATTTGGACTGCCGGTGATCTCACGTTAACACAACAATTCATGTGTTTCATCTGGTGTTAAACGTGAACCTTCTCATTGCATTGTTTTAATATGCGCAGCTTGTTGTTAACACTGTAATCCTTAGTTTTTTATCGTTCTGGTACTATATCAGTAAACAGCCTCGTCTCAACTCCTGATTTTAAAACACAAGCTGCGAATAAAACTTGTTGCTGGTTTTAACATAAAGAAATACCAGACAGACAGAGGTGAGAAGAAAGACAAGATAAGAGGTGAGACGGTGTGTGGATAAAACAGGGTTTCTGCAATGAAAACAATTTGAGATCCATTTTACATCCATACTGGCAAAAAGTACAAAAAACTTGAAGGGAAATCAGGAACACTTTAAACTACCTTCAAATCAATCTTTATTTGTATTTTTAAGACCTTTCAAATTTGTATTTAAGACATTTCATGAGGTTTTAAGTGATTGTTAGACATTTTAAGGCCTTAAATTTAAAAAATTGGATTTTAGACGTTTTAAGGCCCAGCAGAAACCCTGATAAACGAACTGAAAGTAATGCAGCTACTACAAAATACAACAAATATATAAAATATGTAACAAGGTGATAAAAAAGGGAAATGAACCACTAACAGGTACATTTGTCCATTTAACTGAAATCAAACCTTATCCACTAATCGATTAAACTAACTAAAACTGAACTTTTGTGTTGGGTTATGTTGACAAATCTAATTTTGTTTTCACTTTGACAAAAGGTGATAACAGAAAGCAGCAGCTACAGTCTAGGTGAGAAGTTGACGGCTAAAAAGAGGCGGCTGATGACTAAGAACGGTTTGGTTTTGAGACTTTGTCCTCAGTCTGCGTTAATCGTCAAAAGAAGCGGCTCTGTAAATGATCGTTTCCAGCATTTCTAAGAGATATTCGAATCTTAGCGGGAAAACTGTGCGACGACAAAACCGGCCAAAGAAATCTTAAGAGAAAAATCTGCAAATGCAGGAGCGTAAAGTTAAAACAAACTCTGATCATTTGTCCTCTAGTCTGACTCTCTTCAGTTTGTACAGACAGCAGAGTACAGATCATTCTCACAGTGACGACTTGATGACAGCTGACAAGTCGCTTTACTTTAGAGTACGGTGGCGTATTTGCAAAAAGGGATGTGTGAATTTATAGGCAGTAACACTTGTGTTTAACGCAGATACCACGTAGTAAACCCGTCACTACACCTGGATACACGCCTGCCAAATTCACTTTGAGAGAGAGAGAGAGAGAGAGAGAGAGAGAGAGAGAGAGAGAGAGAGAGAGAAAGAGAGAGAGAGAGAGAGAGAGAGAGAGAGAGAGAGAGAGAGAGAGAGAGAGAGAGAGAGAGAGAGAGAGAGAGAGAGAGAGAAAGAAAGAGAGAGAGAGAGAGAGAGAGCACACTGTCAGAGTAATTGACAACACACAGGCACTAATAACCTACTGCCCCTTATTTTCTCTCACTGCCAAAGACGTTTCCTGAAATAGCACATCTCTGCTGTAAAACCCTGAAGGGACAACAGCGTCAAAACAACACGTATGACAGCACACGGACCGTCATCAGATGAAATTATTACCCACTGATCCACAAAACCCAAACTCTCAATCGAGCAGCATAAACCCTCATCATCATCATCACCACCACGTGCTCGGACACCACCGACACAGCTCAGAGGATAATCCTTCAGCTACTCACGCTGTATGTGAATAAGCTGCTTTGGCATCTTGAACTCCCCGGGGTAGAGGGACTCGTAGTGCGTGATGTTGCGCTCTGCCTCGGGGACGGGGATAACCATGTTGTCCCGCTTCTCGCCGTATACCTGCTGTGCTGAGATGGCCCGCTGGAGATGGTGCTCCTGGAAGAGAGGAGGAGGAGGAGTACAGATGTTTACAAAACGACAACAGAGCAATCTCTTTCTTTTACACAGTTATGCAAATTTACAGCTTACAAAAGGACATTTATTATTCTAGAAACAAGTGTCGACCTCAGATTTGTTGAACGGCGGCAAAATCTGTGTGGCAAAAAAACAACAAACAAGTCTCCAGAGGATGTTCAGAGTCTCAAACTGAAGCAACAAACAAACATATTCATGACACAAAGACGTACGGACAGATCTGGATAAAACTGGTTTTCTGTGTGTGTCCAGAATACTAAATATCACAGCAAAGACCAGAGCTCACTTCACATTTCTCAGACCAACAAGCTGCAATTCACCTTTTAAAGACAAGTAATGTAATGACAGCTAACATATGATGAGGAGCGCTGACAGACTAAAGTCAAGACTGGACATTTTCATGAGTAAAGCTGTGTAAAAAGTAACACCCACAAACAGGGGGAAAGAAGTCTATGTGAAGCATTTTGAACAGAGGATGAAGAGGAGACCTGGAATCAGGGTTTCTGTACGAGGTGAGACTCTCCTTTGAGATTCATCGAAACACTCTGATATTTTAGCCAACAGCTGACGTATAAACAAAACTGTGATTCCCACTGAGACAAACTGGGTAACAGAGTTTCATTCTGCTGTGACTGAATGGCTGTCTACAGCCGACGAGTGACACGATCTACAACACCAGCAGCATCTCTGACAGGTTTAAAGTCAGCGGACACACAGACTGACTCTCAGTTTACTTCTCTGTCTGCAATGGGCGAATAGAAAGAAAAACTTTCATATGTTAAACTTTCATAACACAAAAAAACAAACTTTTTATAAATGTTTGAACTTTCTGACTGATGAGACCTGATCTCTTTGCGGCTCTTCCCTTCTTAAGGTCCTTACACACCGGGAACGATGCAAATATACAACGCAAAATTTGAAGCACCTGACTGTACACATCAAGCCCGATGCAATTTTGCAACTTTCCAGGGGAAAACAGACGTGTACCGGGTGGAAGTGAGAAGACTGACCCAACAACAGATTGAGTGTTTTTCAGTTCAGATTAGACTCTAGTGTTGAGATGTCTGTCTGTCATGATGGCATGTACTGAGTCGGGGCCAGAACCAGATAAGCACATGGACCTTTACTCTTGTCATCAGGAGAGACGCTCACATTAGCCGAGCAATACTTTTATTTTTTTATTTCATAAATCGGTAATCAACCCCCCCCCCCCCCTCCCCCCCAGCACTAAAGCACTAAACAGTGACTGTGCACTGTGAGACTTTAGGGACAGAAAGAGAGACTTCCTTATTCTTGTTGATTTCTGTCCTGAGAATTTAACTGTAAGACTCATCTGAACACAAACAGGAAGTGGTTTCCCAACTCCACTTCTTCCTAAATCTTTCCATTTGTTTTTCTTGACCATCGTCCAATCTTTTTCAGACATTCCTCCCCTTGAGTTTAAGCGCTGCTCCAGTTAGTGGTTAGTTATTGACGACCCTCTGTTGTTTTAAACGGCAGGTCTCAGAGAAATGACTCACAGGGAGATGAACAGTGAGAGCTTGTGGATGTTTGACGGAGCTGAACAGAGTAACGAGGATGAACAGCAGGTGTTTGGGCGTGCCGGTCCACCGCCCCTACAAAAGAGTCCACATCCATTCAGAGTTTTCAAACTTCAATCAGGCAAAGACGTCATCTGGAGCGCCGCACAGGTAACCCTGCTAACGCGAGGATGACTCACTGTTTTCATCCGCTGCAACCCGAGCTGAAGCGAGTCATAAAAGTCGGCGTGAAAGAAAATCAGAAAGTTTAAAAATAATGCTGCTGCTGAATATTCTGAAGCATGAAATACCTGCAGTTTGTTTCCCCCAAAAGGAGCTCCAATGAAACTAACTTCTCGGTTTAACAAACAAGCCCGTCGGCAAATGAGTCACTGGATTGACTCCTGAACTCTGTAAACACTGAGTGCTTTTTAGATTATGTAATCTGATGCAGTCACCTGCAAATGTGATGAAAACAAGAACCTCAAACAAGTCTCTCTTCTCCAGAACACAAACAGGTTCGAGTTTTCTGGTGTAATAAATCACATATAAACAGATTTAATGTTGAATGAGTGGAGGAGAGAAAAGGTGTATAAATATCTGAGTGTTCCCCGCGTTACAGAGGCTTTTTCTCAGCATAGCATAGAAAAATGAACATGTTTCAGGGTCACTCACAGGTCACTCTGCGCCTGGTGTTGGTGCTTCAAAGTTCCTGGTTTTCATTTGTACCAAATCGGCCCTCAGAGACCTCTAAAGAGCCCAGTTCAGATGAAAACTGCACTGAAACAAACCCCCATCAAAATCAAAACAGAGACACTGTTGGAGCTGCAGGCGCCACAGCTCAGAAGATCAAACGTGTGTTTGTGTGTGTGTTTGTGATTTCTGACGTTGTATCAGCTGTTTGAGGAGCAGAGCGACGTCTCAATGACTCCACTGAGTGAGAACAAACTAATGAAAGGGTTTGAGCAGCTTCTGTAGGGTACGTCTTGGTATTCAATCAAATTAGGGGTGTGACATTTCAGCCATAACATTAATGCATCAATTTAAAGCACCTGGATTGATGGGAACTCCTGCACAAAGCACATCCTGGTCTAGATTGATAATTGTGTGTGTATTCAGCATGAAGAATGGTGGTTATGTGGATTTATTTCTGCACTTTTTGATCCAAAGGGAGCTTAAAACTCCTCAAGAGGACAAGAACCATCGTAGCAGCTGTTTTCAATTCTTCTGTACAATGAGAGGAATCCCAGATGGATCAATACCGGTCTACGAAGGTTAAGTTGAAGATACTGGAAACACGACCAGCTTCTGAGCTTTCCAATCAATGATGCCGGGTATCAGCCGAGGATGCTGACATTGAAAAAAAAGAAAACTAATATTGTGATTTTTCTTTTTCCACCAAATAAATTCTAACAATAAAGCCTCGGTTTCCTCCCACAGTAACAGCAGGACCAGCTGACCCAGAGAGGAGTCTGAGGCGTCTTCATTGTTTTTACTCAGACTCACAGAGGGCCAAAACTATCACTGCATCTGATCTGTCAAGATACGCAACAATACAGTGCAGTGATTGAAACTTCAGAGCAGAGTTACGACAAACCAGGCAGTTTACTATCCTAGAAACGATGCACACCTGCTTCCAAGATCTATGGAATGCATAGATCTGTCATCATATAGATCTGGGATGAAATGTTTGGGCACTTTACTGACGAGGAGTTTACCCTAATAACAGATAATGTCAGTAACCTTGACCTTTACTGCACTTCCCAGTATATCCAGGTGTAGGGCTGGGCGACATGTACTCAAATTAAATATCACGATATATTGATCAGTTCACCTTGATAACAATAAATGGACGATAACTACTCCACAAGCTGCTCACCCCCTCCCACATTAACTTCGTCTACTTCAGCCGCTACAACTTTCTCTCCGTCCTCCATCTCCTCACCTGTCTTTCCCTCTTTGTTACAGACTGGATGGGGTGGAGTCACGTCTCCGACATAGGACAGCGGCTTAAAGGGATATCAGACCATAGCCTACCTACACACATCTAAAACCAACTTTTATTATTAATTTATTTGACACCGACTATACCAATATGAGCACAAAAAAATGGTTATTGTCGTAAATTTTGATGTCGGTAAATTTTCGGTTTATCGCCCAGCCCTATTCAGGTGTTTATTTTATGTTATCTTGATGGTTTGCGGTCTAGTCCTTGAGCTCTGATTGGTTATACTGTTCTAAATGAAACCCCTACCACATGCTGGGATGAACACCGTTTAAATGTACCGTAATGCTTCTAATACTTTGAGTATTTTGCTTTGATTGTGAAGATTTAATTTTCCACCACACGGTCGGTCGATCATAGAAGCACAGACTGCACCAAGTTGCAGCAGAAAACTTATGATTTGAGAGTAAACAAATCAAATGTTATCTGGAAAACATTCAGATAGATTTCACAACCCTGACTCCACCCCTCCCTTCTCAGCACTAAAAATAAATCCGGATCAAAGGAGTTGCAGTTTATGACAAATGTATGCTCACCCTGAAGAACACGCTCTTTGAAGGCCTGCTCTCAGCGGTTGATGCAACAGATGGCCAATCCAGTCGAAGCGACTGCAGCCCATCTCGCTCTAACACGTACTTTAACAGGGCTCCTACTCAGTTTGCAAATTGCACGCTCCTTCTCACCGCCACGGGTTTCTAACTTAGATTTTAAGATATGGGTCAGTGTCTAATGAAGCGCTCTCCACGGCTGACAAGTGTGACCGTAAACAAATCTGTGTCCGTGCAATATTCGTTTTCATTACCTGAAAAACTCGCACACCTGCGTGGGAGTTTTAAGCGGTTCGGGAACTAAAGGATAATCCAAAGCCAGGAGCAGCACTGCATGGAGTAACAGGAGAACTATATCAGAGCTGTGAGCTGGCATGAAAGGACACAGCGTGCATCCAGAGCTGAACCATCTGCCCCTGGTAAGCTTATCAACAGGCCTTGTGTTGTACACTCTCTCTACAAGCAACACACAAAGAAAACAGCTTATTCTGTTATCCCAACCTGTGCGAATTTAACCCCGAGGGCCCTGGGATTAAAGTGAAAGTACTCGGACAACATCCATCAGCCGCTGCTTTTTGGTGCCTCGAAATGACTCGGGGATGTAAACAAACACAGGCCGCAAAATCACCAGTAATTTGTCCCCAACTTAAACTGGCTCATTACTCTAAACATGGCCGAGCCTGGCATGTTCACACAGGCAAATCACAGGTTTTGGCGTATTTGGCGTCAATTGTTACAATGTGTGCTGACTGTCCAGCCAAGCTTGTTGAGACTTTCACACAGCCCACAAATACACGACCGCCTGCAAATTGCTAACAGTTTTTCGTGTGAGCCTTCATTTAAAGCAGCCTCCACTTTAAAAACTGCGGAGGCTGTGGTTCCCGTGATTACAGCATATTTGAGTTTTATGTCAAAAAAAAAAAAAAAAACAAGCTCTGGAGAAACACTTCAGCTACAATGGCAACCTCACAATTCCCTCTGAAGAGCTCAGAACAAAGCAAAATCGTTTTTATTAAGAGTACACTGGCAGCTCAAACCAACGATAAACCACAGCTAGTGTCACCTCTGATTCTAAAGGAGGGATTCTGATAATGGGTCATGATTAAATTCAACGGTTAATGAAAACTAACTCATTCCTACGCTTTGAATCTCTTACCTTGACTTCAAAATGACATCTCCAGTCTAAAATACATAGACATGAAACTTTTCACTTTTTCCCCTCTAAACAAAAGGGGGAAAAGTGCATCCAAAAACTCCCTCCCAAAAGTTCAGTTTGGTCACTGTGGTAGGGCTGGGCGATATGGCCTCAAATCAATATCACGATATATATATATCACGAGCAGTTCACCTCGATAACGATAAATGGACAATAACTTCTCCACAAGCTGCTCACCCCCTCCCACATTAACTTCGTCTACTTCAGCTGCTACAACTTTTGAACCATCCTCCATCTCCTCACCTGTCTTTCCCTCTTTGTTACAGACTGGATGGGGTGGAGTCACGTCTCTGACGTAGGACAGCGTCATAAAGGGACATGAGACCATAGCCTACTGAATATACCAATATGGGCAAAATAATGTTGGTTATTGTCGGAAATTTCAGTATCGATAAATTTTCTGTTTATCATCCGGCCCTATTCAACGGTTGATGGAAATAACTGATTACTCACTCATTTCTATCCTTTGAATCTCTTACCTTTACTTCAAAGTGACATCTCCAGTCTAATATACATAGATGCAACACTTTCCACTTTTTCTCCTCTGAAAAAGAGGGGGAAATAAAGTGCATCCATTAAGTCCCACTCTAAAAAATTCTGTAGTTTCACTGCGGCTCTGACTTCAGTGACTGAGAAAGCGTCATTAGCTTTAGAGAGAGGTTGAACTGTTTTTACCTACAGACCGTCAAAACTCTAAAAAACATTCACCTGACCATCAGTGCCAGACTCCACTTCCACTGAGAGAGAAAAGCAATGCTCCTGCCTCAACATGTCCACTACCACTGATAATAGTGAGAGCTAAATAGCATCTGGCTACTAGCTAACATTACTTGTCAGTAAAATGAGGAAAACTTTCAGGTAAATTTAGCAAACACAGTGCTGTAGTATCTCACTTTGAACTGGGGATGTCCTGATCTGATATTGATATCAAATATCGGTCCAATATCAGCAAAAACAAATATCAGTATCAATGTTAAAATGTATTGTGTCACTAGCCTTGGTATTAACTTTGGCATCATGCAGACACAAGATACCAAAGAGGACTCTGGTGAACATCAACTAACTCAAGTCTATGAACCAGGTCTTGACTGAACCCACTGAAGATCCATCCTCTAGTGTCACTCGTCAAACACACCCTTAAACCGTCCCTCTGCGGACCCCTCTGTCCGGCATGCTCACAAACCCAAACCCCGGAGATTTAAGGAAACTTCAAGAAGAGTGAGCACAAGGATCCAATTACACCTAAGCCTGGCCCAGACCGGCCTTTGCACGCTTCTGCAGGGGATATCGGCTTGGCAGATTGCAGCACGCTACCCCGGGCTGCCTCTGACCTAAAGATATCCTGATCTTTCGCAGCTGTGATCCCAACAGCCACGGTTCACAGTCTGGGATTTCCTCTCCTGAGGAATTGGGTGAGTGGGGATAAAGGGCTTTTGTGAATGGCAGACAGGAACAAGGATTGCGGGATAATTTTGGACATCTTGCAACTGGTTTTCTTATCAAAATGTAGAGGTAGACATTTTTTAAAAAGCCCCCAAAAGTCTCCAAGTAGAGGAGCCTCCTTCATTTTCCCTCACAAGAAAACCACAAAAGTGTGAAGACTCCTTTGATAGAGGAGTTTTCAGCTGCTTTACCTCGTACCCTGACATGTAAAGACTCTGTCAAAACACTACCTCTCTTGTTCTTCCTCTGCACCGTACTCCAGGACTTCACAGCCACAGATGCAGATACAGGAGAGACAAATGAAAATCTATTTTTTCACAGCACCACACGTTCCTTCCATTTAATGTTCTCCAGGAAAATAGATGACTCCAATAAAAGTTGCCATGGCGACGAAAAGTGTGGCCTCCAGCAGGTGTTTTTCAGCCGAGGGGGGGGTGAGAGCAACTCTTGAGGAAGGCAATCTGTTCACCGAGTCGAGGCGTACACCCTGTCCAAAATACACACTATAAATGAGACAAACAAGCGGCCAAAAAGCAAGAATAGCAAACGAAACCCACGCCTACCAAGAGAGGGAAGTTTGTCCAAAAGATTTCAACCACGAAATAACAATTTAAGACATTACTTCAGTGGAAAAAAACACACACAACACGTGTTCAACACTGACTTATTGACCAATTCAAACTTATTATCACACCACAGCGAAAAAGCACTTGAAACACGTGTTGCCCCCTGATTTACAGGGGAAGAAGACCTTTAACAACCCTTAAAAACATCTTCAACATCAGGCTTGTCGACTTGAGTAAGTGCAGACTTGTCCCTTTACAGTTTGAGGACCATGCCCTCCAAACTGTGCAGAAGTGTCAGCTAAAGCACGTTCAGAAAGGTAGAAATTACAGGTGCAAATAAAAATTTCTGCACCTGGTGAGTAAGTGAGTTTTTCAATATTGAGTCTCACGACAGAAGAAGACATGCATAACAATTGCAAAAAACACACTGTGGAAAATCAGGGATTCATGAAGCTCATCGTGGGACTGAACCCCCCAAAATCTGCCTTTATCCTCTGAATAAATCATGATTTAAGGGTTTATTGTGGCAACTAATGATACAAATATCCGATGGTTTTGGGCCGTATTACCCGGCCCTACCTTTCTGACATCTATCCTTTAGATTCGTGATGCACTATCACGTCTTTTCTGAGATGCCTCCCTTTCAGAACAAACTGAATAATTTTAGACTCCCTGCTCAACGGACAAAATGTTCCACTCTGTGACTGCCATGACGACTGTGCACAGATACGATCACGCTTGACAATACCAGCTTTAAAAACTGAACGTCTATCAATGATATCTGCAGAAAGCTTAAAGGTTATTCATAATGAAGCAGCGTAAGTCGACTTCTGCTGCATATACTAATTGTGAAAAATTGGGCTTTTAGTGGGTGATTAAATCTGAGAGCTGTTGCTATGAATCTTAATGCAAGTGCATGATTTTGTTGATTTAAAGCTTCAGATTTGGCTTAAAGTGGACGGATGTACCTGTTGGAGTCTACTTCCCGTCAGGATCACAAAAATCTGTTTACTCGCTTCTTAAATCAGCGTAACTCTCAGGTCAACATGCGGCCACTCAGTCACCTCACAGCGCAGCAACGCTCCATTGTTGCTGGATAGGAAGTGGGTCAGGGAGCTAAGCCATGCACAGCCTTGTAGTAAAACTGTCCTCTTTATCTCTTCTGTCACTCTGTTATGTAATGCCGCTCTGTGTGTACAGTAGGTGGGGGAGGGCCGGCAGCGCAGGAGGGGGGGGCGAGTCTGATTTCTGCTGACTTCGCAGCGGCCCCGTAATGTGCTTTCCTTGTGTTTGTGTCTGCTGAGGCGTCTCGTCGGCACAGAAAGGGTCTCCCACTGATGAGGTGACGGAGAGGAATTCAGTGGAGCGGGCCAGGAAGGATCATAAACACCCGCTCATACTCCAGCAATTAATCCCCTTTTACGACCAGCAACAACTATTACTACACTAACAATCAAAGACGAATAAGAGCAGAATTCAGCCCTTAACTAGTCCTAACACACAGCATGAAAAAAGACATTGTTTTGGTTATATTTGGAGTTAATTGCTGAGGTTTACGTGGGTTGCAGACATGAAATCAGAGTGCATGATGCAAACCAATTCTTTATGCAATATTATGCATGAAAAGCTCTTAATGGGGACAAAGGTTATCCAGAGTGTCAAATGAAGCCTTAATCTTTAAGCGCAATACATAAATGCATGAAAATCAGTTCACTAATGTTTGCAGGCATTTTGGATTAAACTGAAATAAGCCTCACATTAAAACCAAGCAAACTTGCAGCTGTTACATCCTCTTAAAATCAACATTTCTCTAATTTAGAAGATGTTCCTACTTCATTATTAATTTAATTCTAACTCCAGCTGCATCAATATCCTCTAAAAAAACAGATGTGGAGCTAAAACATGAATGAACCCGCCTCTGGAATCACTATCATCCCCATACTTTACATGTTGCAACACATGAAAACTCCACAGTGTGTTATGCAATGCTGTTTTTGTAGGATATCATTAAATTGAAGGCACATTTCTCCCCTTTTCCCCTCCTCCTCCGCCGTGTGCAGCACACATGGCAGACTCTGGAGCTGTCAACGCGCAACACCGAGCTGTCAAACCGGGCTGGGGGGCTCACTGTCTCCCCCTGGCATTCATCCGCGGATAGTACACACCGTCCGAGGCCTATCCCCGCTCGCCTTTACCGAGGAGAAAGTCAACAAAATGGTGGAACAGAAACGAGTCACGTGACTTCTTTGTGCGTTTGGGCGCAATTTCGAGTGAAACGAATGAGCAGAACACGGTTAACGAATAAAATCTCACACCGTTTTCACATTTTAAACACACGTATATTAGAATCGGGCCGTAATAAGGAGGATTCGTCGAGCTCCGTCGTGTGCACGAAAAAGCAGATATGGCGGCCATTTTGCACAAGCTTGCGCAGGCAACATAGCGGCGCTCCTTGATGGGAAAACACCGCCAAAGTGATCCAGCACAGTCATGAAGCAGCAATAAAATAACATACCGATTCCTCCTCCTTTTCCATCCCGGTTGGCATCTGCGGCACTGCCCGGTTGATTGAGGCATACTCGTGCAGGTCCGGCAAATCCTCGCAGCGGAAGACGGGCAGGGGCTTACTAGCATCTAGCGCCCGTGCCCGAAACGACAATTTACTCATTTTTATATTAAAAGATGCAGCATAAATCTATTCGATCTGCTAGGAATAACAGCAGGTCTGCCTCGAGTTCTCATGGATGAATCTGTGACGGTCTCTAGGAGTCAGCCGGTCGATCGAGGGCAGGCTCGGGTCCGTAGCAGCGCGAACAGAGCCGGGCAGGCCCGGGTCTCGGTCGCTCTCTGTCGGTCTCTTTTTTTCCTAGGCTCCGCTGTTCCTCCCCGGTTCAATACGCCATGGCCAACATGGCGGACATTACAAACTCATGCAGCTCACCGCTCGCTCAGAGCGGCCCAACCCCCTCGATCACACGAACAGCCATTCCCACGCAGTTTTGCACGCGTGCGCGCTCGCGAGACCCTTGGGGTACTGGGGAGAGGAGGGAGGGAGGGGGGTGTACCGACGGAGGGAGGGGAGGGAGGGGGGAGAGAGGCTGGATGCTGATGAAGGGATGTGAACTTCTCAAGATGTTCTCACCACAGGAAACGCGAAGAACATATATATTTATATTTATGTATATATTTTTAAATGTTATATATAAAATAAAATTGAGTGGATTTCTAATACACTGCTGCTTCAATTAATTATATTTATAAACAATACAAAAATTTTGCTCATGAGCAGACTGCGATACTTTGCGTTATTACATCTGCAAACACACCCTAAATGACCAAATTCTGCTCATATATGTTATATCAAATACAACTACAAAAAGGGACACATGTTCCGCCTGTAAACAGTCTTCTACTCTGGGAAATATCGCCTCCTTGTGGTACAGACGCTGCATGTCTCCTCCAGTCATGATTCCAATGTTTTTTTCCCATTGATGAGTAGGGGAGAGTGGGGTAAGATGAGCCATTTTTCATAATTCATATTTCATATTTTTTTCATATTTTCATAGTCCTCTAAGCTAATATGGTGGACTCTTATGTTAGGTTTATGACCTCATGCTGTAGCTCATAGATACCACAGTTGATGTATAAAACAAATTTAAAATGATCTTTTTTGGTCTGAACACAATTCTCAAACTTATGACAGACTAAATTCACTTTCAAGAGTGAAAAATGTTTTTTGTAAATAAATGTCTAACCTCTTCACCCACGTGCTTCTAACCTTCACAGACTCCATGAATTGATGCCCATCTCCTAAATATATGGTCACATGATCAATTTCTTTTACCATTTAAAAGCAACAGGGGGTGGCTCAACTTGCCCCACTCTCCCCTATCTGTTAAGATTTGTAAAAAGAACGACACGCAGCTGGAAAATTTAGTGGAAAAACACTGAAACCTCCTCCATCATTACTGCCAAAATAATGTCTTTAGCTTCATACATTTAAAAGATTTAGAGTAGTAATATTCTGTAGTTTGTGAGGAAGTATCACACATGCTTTGGCAGCAAGGTACGGATTAAAATGAAATTTAATGGAGCCATAATGCAGAAAACATAATCTACCACTTTAACTGTTTATTTTTATGTCTTTTTAACAGTTTAACACATTTCTCTTCTCTTCTCCAGCTTTAATTACATATACTTTAATACTATTGTTATGCATCCGTCTCTATCTATTCTGTTTCTTTCTATACAAATGTCACATTTTCTGTCTGTTTTGTTTTTAATCACTGCAAAGCACTTTGAGCTGTGTTTGATTTGTATGAAAAGTGCCAAATAAATAAAGCTTGATTGACTGATTGAGCGGTTTTAGTTCAGTTTGAGGAAAACACTGAGAAATGGACTTTCTTTTATTTATTCTTCTGTTTTAAGTACCGAAGGGAAGAATCTGTCGAACTAAATTTGTAATATTGAATAAAATAACAGTAACAGCACAGAAGAAAATATTTAGATATCAGGTTTTTAGACTGAAATGCTCCCTTGCTCACCTTTTCTTTTGGGTAAAACTCCACAGATGACGGTTGCCTCTGAGGACAAAAAGCTCCACTAATGCATGTTAATTATAATCCCTCATTTGTAAAGTATTTAAAAAAAAAAAAAAAAAAACAATCTTTAACTCAATTCAGATTCTTCATGCACACCAACCACTCCCTTCTTCCTCCAACAGCCACTCTCTAAATAAAACATGTATACGCCCATATCCATGTTCACCGCTCTGTGCTACTGTATGAACAAAATGACTTCCATGCAAAGCGACCTGCTCCCATGTGGCTATAAAACTCTCAGTCTTACACGACTTCTTTATTCAGCTGCTTCAACTTAAACACACTAAGAGATACTTTACTCTATAATACCTCACAAAGCACCTTAAGGAGGCACTTCACACTGATGCAATACCGTTTCATTTCCAGTCCACCACTTCTAAATGAGAGGCCTCTTATTCTCCAACAATGCTGCAAATGTTTATCTTATTCTTTTTGAGCTTCTCTTAAGATTTTGAGGTGTCTTAATTCACTTGGATAACAGATTCAGATTATCTCTGATGTTGTAGAGTGCATTTTGAAAATGGGTGTGTTGAGTAAAGTCATGTCAGAAATGTCAGAAAGTATTTGATACTGTAAACTGAATTTGGCAGTTGAATAGTTGTTGTTTTAATGTGCAGGTGCAGCGATGAACTAAACTGCCTGACTCTAGTTTGCTTTGTCGAATACTTGACTCTAAAGAAACTGCACATACAATGTTAACAGAGCTAATGCAGTCATGACTGACCAGACACCACAACATCTCTATAGGTCAAGTTTTCTGCTGTAAAACCGGTCACTATAAGTGCATGATAAATAAATGAAGCATTATTCTCATGTAGTGATATTCAAAATAGTATAAACACTGAGAATAACCTGCAGGCGTGGGTGAGATCTCCTGTGGGCATGAGTGACTGATACAGCTGTAGGAGGCTGACATGATAATCATCATCCGTTTGGGAGCCATAACCTCGCACCTGCAGACAGTAATGGGGACCTGTGAAACCGAGAGGGAACAGAAAGACAGTTATACACACAGCATTAAAAAAAACACCATAAAGAGAGTGTAACCTGCTCAAAATTCACAGCTAACTCGTTCTAGGTAGAGGAGGAAGATTCCTGTGAATGTACAGCGTGTCATTCACCAGTGTTCCCACATATGAAGGCTTATACAGCTGTGTAATCATTTCACTGTATGTTTAATTTGTTGTCATAACTCCACCGTATAATATCCTGTTAGTGACGGAGAAGGTGACGCCTTCAGCACCATGGGAACAGTCTTTTTCCAGGTACTATAGGTGAGCTCTAAAACCGTCCTGTAATATTAGGTTGGAGGTAAAGATATCAGGAAGACCATTATCTAGTGAAACCAGTTCAAACCCGGGGCCTGGCCATGAGTCAGACTCTATCCAATTTTAGTTTCTTCTCCTTTCAGACTGATCTGAATAACCTCCATCATGTGAGGTTCCTGTAAGGTCACTTCTGGGTGACGAAGCGCACAAAGCTCCTCCAGCAGCAAACTAAGACCCCGCCGAGTGAGGAGGGGCGCTACTACAGGTCATTCAGCCAGTCTGCTATGAGATCACCAGCAACCCAGTGAGATCACGATGCTTTCCTGCTGACACTAGTTTTCTAAAGACTTCAAAATCATCCATATACAAATAGCCATCAGACAACATATTTTTTGTGATAGTAAACATTTATCTACTCTTTTATATTTCCAAAATTCAGAGATATGCTGTTGTTACCTGCATATTTAAATGTTTACATTTGGGGTGGGGATTGCAAAGTTATCCTATGAAACATTTGGAGTTTGGTGCCAAAAGAGAGAAAAATATCAGAACAAAGTAGCCTGACACGACTGCTCATGTTTATTCAAGGTTATTTTAGACTAAAAGACTCTGGTTTTAGTTCCAGTTCAGCTTATCAATTTCAGTCCAAGTTTTGATGTTTTTCAGAGAGAATAAAAATAACTTTTTGATGTTATTAGTAAGTTAATGTTAACATTTCCCCTGCCTTTATCTTTGAGGACGTTTAGGCTTGTCAGAGTGAATTGTCTTTTCCTTATGGAGGGAACTTCTGTACTTTTATTGTACTTTTATTAGAATTTGTAGACCTCAACATAAATGTGATGTACTAGATTCTAGAGATGAAGTATTATCATAATTAGAACGATGAATAACATTTTGACACAATCATCATCATCATCATATCGGCATTGGCCCTCAAAAGGCCGCTATAACCATCATCTTTTCCTAATAATACCACAATTTTCTGATTACACATGAACAGCAAATCAAATCTAAAACTGTCACTGGCTGCTGTTTAAACAATAACTCTATAATAATGAAGAGAATAATGCAGTTTAGTATTAACAGACATTCTCTGAACTCTTTAGTCTTTGTTTTTTACATTAATTCTTTAATGATACCAGCTAATCATGTTCAGATAATCATGTTTATTAGGTCATGAACAGATTAATTATTCCATGTGCATGAAAACCCTCTTTTTATTTCAACTTTAACATCTCCCTCATTATATTTTTCTTCCCTAACAATCCCAGTTTGCTGCACTGAAGTAAAATACTCCTTTACAGCAATACTTTAAAGAGTTGAATATGATTAAAACTGAATTTTGTAAAAAGTTCACTCAAGTTCAGTAACTTTTTTTTTGCCACTTTTCACTGTTTTATTAAACTGTTGTCAGATGTGTGATATCTGCTTATATATCAGCCACTGGCCAGCTGACTCTCTTGTCATATGAATCAGCATCGGCCACTGAAAAACTAATCTGTCAGCTACGACTAGAAACACTTTGCTGAATCTGTATACATATTTTATCGAACTACTTATTTAATGACTGTACATATTCCCACTCTTACTCCTAAATATCTTACTGTTTATATTCTTCAACGCACCCACTGTTAATAGCATTTTCTCGTTTTCACACGCTTTTCTGGTCCGAGTTTGATCAGTCGGTCTTCCTGTTGGCATGAAGAGCAATAGCCTACAGTATATCTACAGTATATAGTATACTGTAGATCTCTAAAGTATATATATATTTATTTATAACTTATTTAAAAAAAAATAAAAATCGGCCGATTAATAATCGGTATCGGCCCCGAAAAATCCATATCGGTCGGGCCCTAGTCCATATGTTAAAAGTGAACACTGTGAACACTGACTGTGAATTTATTTATATACTCGTCAGTATTTGCATTTTTTGTCATTTCAGGTATATTTCCCATGTCTTTTGCACTCTTTTTAAAATCCACAACTAAATTCCCCTTGTCCTTTTCTTTCGAGCTGTTAAAACACGTGAATTTCCCTCAGCAGGGATCAATAAAGTGAATCTTGTCTTATCTTATAAACCCACAGAAGGCAGAGTGGAGGGAAAACACGATAAATACACAGACATTCTGCGATTATTCCAGCAAGAGTGGACGACAAACACTTGGGAATCCGATTATTAAGCAGCTTTTAAAGGGTTTTTATGATCCTCCTCCTCAGATCAGACACAGCTGTGTTTGCACACTGAACACACAGGCTAGCTGACAGGCTGCTAACGTTAGCTTAGCTCACTTACCCTGACCCTGCGCCATTTAGCAGCCCTGCTAACACTTCTCTCAACACTTTTCCTCCAACTCAGAAAACACTTATCCGCCTCTGAACGGCCTCGCTTTCGATTTCCACCGAGACAACACACATACAAGTATCTCGAGTGGGAGTTGTAACTTACCTGCTGCCAGCAGAGCCACAGGGGAGGATGATGAAGATGAAGATGATGATGGCAGTTCTTCTAATGGTTGTCATGCTAGCTCGATGCTAACGCTGGTTAGCTCCCTTAAGGACGTCTCAGAGGAAAAAGATTCTCCCTGTTTTGTCGCTCAAAGTGCGGACGAGTCACGACGAGAGGCCGCCGGAGACAGAAGCCGGAGCGGGGAGAGTCATATCCAGCCAACGAGGGTAAAAGTTGGAGAGTTTGTGGGGTTATTTCGACTAAAATAAAAAGATCTGAACTGACCACAGAGCCACTTTGCAGGCGGAGTGTGATTGGAGGATGAACGGCACCAATCACCTGTGGAGAGCGCGAGGAGGATGAGCTCACTGATGCCCCCGCCCACCCCAAACAATAACAATCATCAATAATAACAATCATGATCAAAAATGACGATTAAAATTGGATTGATAATTCATAATAATAATGACGATAAATAATAATAACAAATTAATAATAATAGTATGTAATGACAATAAATAACTAATAATAATGGTAATCATGATTTTGATAATTATTATAATAATAGTAGTAATAGTAATATGCATATCTTATGCATCAGAACATGTAATTTGTTCTCAGTTTTCAAAAGGTAATTCCCAGTTGTTTCCCTGAATTAGTTATCCTGTTCACAGACTGTATATAGACGGGTTTCTTGTGGACACGCAACCATGGGACAAAAGCCTGAACTAATATCAATGAAGATGTCGTATTGTTTGCAATGATGTCCCGCTTTTCTCAAATCAGGCTTGTGTCTGGGGGGGCTCATGTGATGATTCAATTTGTGAATCTCCATTTGTCCATTTAAGCTAGCAAGTTTTGAGCTACAACCAAGGAGGATTTTAGCCCCGTGCAAAACAACATGAAAGACCTGCCTGTCAAGATTCAGCGTGGAGTATCTACTGGCATTTACATATGAACAGGTCTCTTTCCACCATATTTCTACAGTGACACAGATTGGACAAACAAATAACATGCTTTTTTTGTAATCTAAGAATTGGAATTGAAGATGGTTTTGGTGGTAATACTTTGAGGATTATTCTAACTGTATCTCATAGGAGCTTCTTATCCCTGAAGGCCACAGTTCCTGCATTGACAGGAGGGGTGAGCAAGGGAGCATTTCAGTTTAGAATCTGACCACAACAAAAGCTGAATATTCCCAATTTCTACTTTAACAAGACTCAAATAAATGAACATTTTTAGATGTAATTTTTCCTTTTATTTAAATTTTTGCTTCAGATTCACAGCATCTGTCCTGTTTTCTTCATTTGTTTGAATTACTCCTTAAATTACAATAGTTAGTTATATTGTAGGAGGTGTTTTAGACACCTTTCTGTTGCATAAAATCCACGACAGAATTAAATACTTGTTTTCATTTACAAACAAAACAGTACATGTAATTTAAAGGCATATGTGCAGAGGCTGTATTTTTACACTGATTAATATTCACATTCACTGAAATATTCATTTGTATCCTCTTTGTACCCTCTCTAGTACTATTTCAGCAATAAATCTAAAGAGCTATTGATTAATTATTAATAATGATATGAATATAATGTATCAGATCTCAGGCTGACCTCGATGGTCATTTATCATTTTAGTCGTTTAAGTGTCGACGACACACAAACCAAAATGACACGGATGTGTTCGCACCGTTCACAGATCAACAAGTGATGAGCTGCAGCAGCTTCATGGCTGCAGTATTTGTTATATAACTGTCTCCAGGGCTGGTCATCACCTCACACCCTCCCTTCCCCTCCACCTCTCCTCATCTCTGCCCCTCCACACACTCACACACACTTACACACACACATACACAGGGCGGTGCTGCCTCCTCTGGAAGCTGTAGTGCTTCTCAGCGCACATTTTTTATGATCGGACACAGATGAAAGAGAACGCTGCACAGAGGAAGCATATGGAGTCATTTTCTCTCATGCTCCACCACCACCACTGCCGCCGCCACCTCCTCCCACCACCGCCACCCACTGGCTGTTAAAGCTGCATGCACGCCTGCCCAGTGACTCTGGGAGTGGAGGAGGCATTGCTATGATTAATATTGCTTTGCTCAACTCTCCAAGGAAGGTCATCAGCAGCCATCTGTAGGCAGCGGAAAAAACCCCCAAATCCATTTAGATTTGAACATCCCATTGTTTTTTTTCCTGCGCTTACACGATTCAGCCCAGTGCTCCGGTAAAGTGGCTCGCACATACACTGGCTGCTCTCTTAAAGTTGTACTCTGTTGCACCATACTGAGCCCGCAGAGATCAATTCAAAGCTGTCTGTTAGGATACAAAAGTACAGGGAGTCGGCCTTTCACAGGTGTCCAAAAAAAGCATCTTCTCCTCTGACTATTGTGAACTGTAAATGAATGTGAAGTTGCTTCATCATTCCCAGCAGGACTACAGTTTCTTCTTCTCTCATCTAGAGGGCAGTGCACCACCATGCAAAGACTGCATCTCCAGTGGGATTACAATGCATAATGCAGAATGCTCACCTCACTATCTTGAGCCTTCTGAGACCCAAGTTACACAGTGGAGCCCACCGTCAGCAAATATAGGAGCTTTTCCTGGCACATGCCCCGCAAATTATTACACTCTATGTAATAAGCTACTGCGGATTATAATAATGCCAGGGCGTTGAATTTGCATGTTTCAAACAGACGGCTATTAAGAGGGGGAGGCTGTGTGAGTTTGTGGGCGTGCAGAGCATGCGTGGAGGAGCAGAGTGGAGTGGCATTGAGGGGTTGAATATTGAGATCAAAGGAGGGGAAGTCAGACGGCAACATCCGAATAAGTTGGACCGACTGCTGACAGCAGTTCAGATGAGAGATGTTGTTTCATTGTGCTTCACAACAGGGATCCTGATAGAAAAGTAGATCTTATTTTTTGGCGCTCGCTGCGATGGGGCGCTTGTAGATGGGATCAAACTCTGCAACAGAGCAGAAACAAGCGGTACCCCGCATGAGTATTTGTGGGTATTTATTTGTATTTCATTTCTCTAAACGACTTGGTATCTATTAGACCCTTAAATCCATACGAGTTGGAACACTAAAATAGTGCAAACACCAAATGTTGAAATGGAAAGTTGGAGATTTTAAGCACTTTGTTTTTTTTATTTTCTGCCATAATGTGCCATTTTTTTTCCCCCTGGATGATGAATCAGGACAGGAGCCAGGCTAATGTAACACCTGGACTCTTCTACTACTGATCCATGGTGTTGTGACATGTTTGTGCAGAATGGGGTGTGGCTTTGTCTCGCTGAAATATGGAGGTCTCATTGTTTCAGTAAATCTGCATTCACAGATAATGCTTTTTGGAGTTACCTTTGACCATATGCGGTGACTTCCACTACAGAGTCATGTCTATTTTTGATTAAAGGTGGGGTAGACAGGATTCTGTTAAAGAAGCATCTTTCTTTGTGGTGTATTTACAAAAAAGTTTTTAATATCAGTCAATAGTTATTAGTTATTCATGACATTTGGTAATATATCGATATCTCTGTGTTCTCTTATGTCTGTGTCGTCAACATTTGAACATTTTTGAGCGGTCCGCTCTTTCTGACTGTAAACAAAGCCGTTCTCCACCTCCTCTAACCTGATTGGTTGTGAGGCAGACGCTGCTCCCCCGTGTCGTTCAGGAGCCCAAACAAAGTTAGCGTGCTACAATATCGGACAGTAGAAACCAACCAGAAAGTTCGGAAAATTGTCTGAATCCTCCTTTGGCCACGACTGCCGACACAAGCAAGAAAACAAAGTAAATACCGGCGACTCTGGAGGAATAACGGGCGCTTAAAACGGAGGTAGACCGGACAAGAGCTAAAAAGCCGGGTCAACATAAACGATGGGGGACGCTTGGGGATCTTGGTGACCCTGTAACCTTTCTGCTGGACAGGTAAACCGCTTTAACAAAGTAAGACAAGTGTCTGTAACAGAAGTGTTTCTTGTCAAACGGACCTGCTTGCATAACAGTTTACACAGGGTCCCTAAAATATTGACAATTAGAGATGTAAATTAGATGCAGTAATTTACAATCAAAAAGGTAACCATGCTATTTATTAGTATAGAGAAGGTGCACTCAGTTTTTTGGTCTGTTCCTTTCCCCGTTTGATCTCCTGTCTCCTCTGTAAGCGCGGTGTAAGTTGTCAAACAGCTTCTGCAGAAACGTCACCGAGACAAATCCCTGCGTTTACTGTACAGCCTCTGACTGACGAGGCTCTGACAGAGCGGTCCAGCTCTTTCTGGGAGCAGGCGAACTCCCTCTGGTCAATTACGCTGCTGAGTAGTTTCCATGGCAGCAACAAAAGCCACACCCAGCAGCACAACAGAGGCTGATCACACTGCAGTGATCAGACTGTGATTGTATCTGATGGCTACAGCTAATAAATGTCAACAGATCAACATTAAGTCAAGATCAAATTGTTAATGCGATAGCTGTACAAGAATCATCCATCACAAGGACAATGTAGTGTTGAAAATATTCAGAGGACTTGTGATTAAACAGAAAATAAAAAGATGGTGGTTGGGTTGTTTGGACATACTTATCTCTAGAATCTTAGGGTTACTTTGCTGCATTTCCACCAAACATTAGTTAAATAATTAACAGCACAGGTAAACTATATAAAGACGAGATCAGACAAGAATTGAAAAATAAAAGCTGGTATGTCAAGAGGCCGACTCATATGAACCAAATCTGGTCATCTTGTGAAAGAGCCAGAACGTGGACTGACTCTTTTTGTTCTGTCTTCAGCAGGAGGTGTACTCTGCAGCCCTGTGGGTCCACTCATACACCTGTGATGACCCAGAGAGGGGCCCACTGTTGCTAGGACAACAGCCTGACCCACCAGAGTGAGATCCAGGTGATAAAACACGGTCTTTCACTTCTGCAGACTCAAACCTAGTGAGTGTGAAGGTCCATCCTGAATTACAAAGACACCCCCTGAAATCTCCTGTTCCAACCTCACTCTATCTCTCTCTTTTTGGGTATTCAAAGATGATTGCACATGTGAACATCCAGAGGGGGAAGAGAGAGCAAAGTTCACATGTTGGACCTCAGGTGGTTGCCGTGACAAATGCAGGTGTTAGCAGGTGACAGTTCCTTCTGAATGAACAGATCTGGACCGCAAACTGAGAGGCAGAGGAGAGCGCAAGGACGGGCTCTTGTGTGAAAGGACTCTGGAAAAAAGTGGTTTATTTCTCCCTCTGAAGGCTGCTCCACCGTGTGTATATAATGTAATGCAGATTTGCAGCCTGATAGTAAACCAATGAAAGAAAAACATGCTTTTATTTAGCATGCAGTGAAAACTCTGAATGTATACTACTTTTTGTTCAGCTGTACTGCAGCCGGTCACTAGGGGGAGCTCTACATGTTTTGGCTTCACTTTGTACGCACTCTTGCAGTCCATTCAAAGAGGAAAAACTAAAGTGTTGATGTTGGGAGGGCAGCACACATGTATGCATGATAATAATAATAATCTACCTTTATAATTCCCTTTCGATGAATTAGAGCGAACACACTGAGTATATTTTGAATAAAGAGAAAAAGAAATACTGATATTTTTCTGCTCACAGGTGGTGTACTGAAACATACTAAACAGACTCAAAACAAGATACATTATTTCTCACTACATACAGTCACTCTGTTGGGTTACCGCTCGGCTGAAATCACAGAGTGGCCAAAGGTAAGCACAGCGTTCCTTTTTCCAGTGAGTCCTCTGTACACTTCTGAAACATTATCACGCCAGCAAAGGTGTGAGTAAACCGCCTCTCCCTCCTCTAACTCTGCTCTGACACACTCACACAGGGCTCTGACTCTCCTCTCTGTACATGTTATAGCAAATATCAGCCGCTTGATTCCTTCCTTCAACAACCTGAAGTCGACCTTGTTAGCAAAATTGGCGCCATCAAGCTCCTTCACCTGCCAGCATCGGCCACACTCTTGATTCTCGTTGCCATGGCTGCACGATAAACTCCATCCTTTCGCCGTGAGCGCTGATTTTTAGGCCTCAGCAGGGCCTCAGCCTCATGGTTGCAGCCTTGGGGCCTAATGATAGCACACGGTGGTCCATGTGAAGCACTCACGTATCAGGATGCTGTTATGCTTACATTAGATCTCACCTGGAGGGGAGGTGAGGATTCCTGCAGCAACGCTCCACTAATGAGGTAATCATAATTAGCATTAGCGTATCTTCAGATGCTGATGGCCACATGCTAACAGCGGCACTTACACCACTTACCTCACACAGAGCGAGTCTGAGACAGAGGTGCTAAGCAGTTCCTCATCTGATCAGTTTGTGGTCTTTACAGGGTGAAATATAGGAGAAGCTTCAGCCCACCAGCGGCTTTTCTGTTCACCATAACAACCCCAGAGGTCAGCGCCTGCAGTCAATAGAATAGTTAACCTCTTGAAGATGAGGAGGTGTCAGCAGGAAATACACATGAGGCTAATGACCTTTGTGGGAAGGGAGTTTCCGCCTCACTTACGTTGCATGCTTCGGTTATTATCTGCAGGATGTTGTGGGAGTTGTTGGAAAGCGTTCCTGCTGCACATTTTTGGGAAGACGCTTCCTCTTGTGCCCTGCGGCAAAGGAACAATCCTCAACATAGATGAATGAGCATGCGTGTTTATTGATGGCTCGCCAACTGATTTTGATGCCACTCTTTCTAGGGACGGTGGCGAAGAGGAGCTGGATGTGACATCAAAGCCTGGATGCTTGAAAATCACTTCCTCTGACGGATGAAGGTGGGACTCTGATAAATTACGATAACTGTAACTGATATCAGCTAATTGATCAAACATGTACTCAAGACACGTAGGATGGTTTCCCTGAAACCTTCCACCTTTTCCTAAAAACACAAAACAGTCACTATGTTTACACGCACAGTGAAATTCAGCTGCTGTTAGAGCTCGATTAAGTCCTCCTCCACTACACTAGGTGGCGACATTGCCCCATTTCAGCCTGTTTCTGCTGGGTTGTCTCCCTGTTGACCTGCTTCATTATGCACCAAAACAATTACCAAACATGTCTGCAATGTCGTCTAATGATGGAAACAGCTCTGTACCTTTTGTTTACCACTGGGCTTCATATTTATGCTTTTCAACTTCAGGGCCAATTATCCAGGCCTGTTAGTGCTGCCATGAGAGGTTCAATATCAAGTGATTTCAGTTAGGTAAGATGTTTACATGGATTTTAAAAGTCCAGTTTCAGTCGGATTAATCCAGTCATGTTGCAGATGAATGTTATTTTTTGGAGGATGATCCTCCAGGTGGTTTTCTTGCTCTCAGTTTTACAAAGACGTGTTCCTATGATGAGTTAAAATTTTCCCTGAAACATTTGACATGTTGTTGTTTTTGCACGATTCTCAATCAGACATGGAGTTTAAATGACTCTGCCTACAAACTTTTCTGGAAGTGGGGTTGCACGTACTTGAATGTTCTTCTGTCTCAGTATTTTAAGATACCAATTGTCCCGACAAATGGGAGTCAGGACAAGTGCAGAATATGATGCCGAGCACTCAGATGAGAATATACAAGAGTAATCAGTAGTTAAGCACGCTCTCTCTCTCTCTCTTTCTCCTCTCTATCATCTTTCTATCACTCATTGCATTCACTTTCCCATACAGTTTCCGTTCAGTCCAAATAGATAAATAAGTACAATTCAGTGAACAGCCATGCTCACATCTTGCACATCCATTTTCAGTCTTGGACAGGTCACATATCCAGACAGAAATAGATAAATAACGTGTCCATATTTCCTCCACCTGTCAACACACTGGTCTGCAATGAGGTCCCAACATGACACCCTGTTGAAACTAATGAGAGAGCTATACGGATGTTTAGCACACAGGAACACAAACTCACAATCAGGTGAATAAACACACACACTCAGGTACACAAACCCAGTGAGATTAAGAGATGAAAGCTCTGGTTTGGATTACTCCACAGACACTCCAGCTGTTTCCCATCAGGGTGTGTCTGTCAGCATCTTCTTTACCCAGGGAACTGTGCTGTTGATTCTGACCTTTAAATCACTGTCTTTGACTTATGTCTGCTGCAGCCCGGACCTCTATTTCTCAGCTAGGATTGCAGACGGGAATCAATTTAGCACGCGCAGCAATATCTGAGTCCGTAGGAGAAATAATGCACGCGCCTCAGGACCACGGTTACCCAAACGGAGCGAAAACACACACTGCTGTGATGGCTCTTTCTGTTTGATAGGCCTTAAGTCTCTCTCTTTAAACATAAGCATGGAATATCAGCGGGCGAGTAAACCAATAAGGAGAAAGAGCTCGAAAACACCTTGACTGACAGCAACCCTGAAAACTACGGTTAATGTGTAAGCAAACAAGAACCTGGATTCACCCCTTAAAGGGCAGCATTACTCCATAAATCTGCATAATAAATGTTAGACAAGATTTGATATACGAGTCACATCAGCATATAAGTCACGTTCTGTTTTGGTGTTTCTCAGACGCATTGAAAGGTTTGATTCATCTCCCTTTGTGGTGAAAGATGGATTCAGCAATGTGCAGTTTCTGTGCGACCGTGAAGCTCTTTTTAGGACTTTTTATTTTCGTGTGGAGTCTGCAAATGTACTGGCCTCCAAGCTGCTATAGGGTCGATGTGGCTCTCTCAGTAGGAAGGTCCGGGGCTTAATGTAATTATATCTGCTGCATTCAGCAATGTGCAGTTTCTGTGCAACTGTGAAGCTCTTTCTTTCGGCAACATTCATCTCTCGAGGGGGTGTCTAACTCGGTGTTATGGTGTGTTTGACCCTAAACTAATTTTACGCTGGAATATCCCTTTAATGTAATGAAATTTGCTGCATTCAGCAATGTGCAT